ACCTATGGAAACTTCGGGGTCCCATCCCCAGACAACAGCAGGGCCCCTCAAGGGGTCGCAAGCTACATGGCTTCTAGGGCCAGCCGTCCTTCCTCTGAGTGACAGTGAGCAGCAGGGCGGTGATGAGCTGGAGGACATATGCCCCCCCTCAAAGGAAGGGACGGTTCCTTCCTCCCTTTACCCGGTTGACGCTTGCGTGAATGTTGCCACATACTCTGAGTTTTCAAGAGAAGCCAGAAATCCGGATTTCCCCGTGAATCTTGCAACAGTTAAAGGTCGGCAACGAATTCAAAATTCAAAATATACGATGCGAGCCGACTGACGGTTTAAGAACAGCGCGTGAATCGGGGCACCTGGGTGGCTTAGTCGATGAAGCGTCCGACTTTCGCTTAGGTCATGATCTTGCGGTTCGTGTGTTCGAGCCCCGCGTCGGGCTTTGTGCTGACTGCCGGCTTGGAGCCTGGAGCCTGTTTCAGTCTGTGACTCCCTCTCTCTTTGACCCTCCCCTGCTCACGCTGTCTCTCTCTCTCTCTCTCTCTCTATCCTAGGAAAAAAAAAAAAAGAACAGCACGTGAATCACTCAAAACCGTACCCATATCTCGCCTGCGGGTTATGGTCTGTGAACCGGAGAGAAGAGACGGTGTGGAGGCTTTGGAGTCAGACGGACACCAGCTCGAGTAGTTCCCTGAGTTGTAATGAGCACGAGCGATCATATTTGTAAAACGGCCAGCGCAGAGCGGCTCCCTAAACGGAAGTCAATTACCGCTGCATCAGCACAGCTGATGCATCTGTAAAAAGAACATGTTTACATGGTCAGCACAGGACAACAGGGTTCAGGAACACCACCAAGGAAGGGGAGACTGAGTCACAAAGCCTCACAGTTCAGTAATTCCGTTGCTCGTTTCCCCTGTACTGGGAATGGGGAGCTGTAGACGAGCCATATGGCCATACGGTCTTTGCACAGCCTTCTGATTCGTGCCCCAGCCTGGTTTGTGTTTAGCTCTCCGATGCACGTAGAAAAGCCTGGTGCCCCAGACCATCGCAGCTGGGGTTCTGAGCCTGGAGGGAGGGCTTGGGCGAAAGATGTCCTTCCTGAGGACCCCCAGACATGACCCACGTTGTCACCCCCAAAACTGCGTCAGCCGGGAGGAGTGCCTCCATGGCCTCCCAGAGGTCAAGGGGCCTGGGGCCACATCTCTTATGTGAGGATCCAGACAAATTAAAAAGGAACATTTGCCAGGACAGGTTTTTATAGTATATTTTAAACATTTCCATTTAACGCATTAACATGTTTTAATGCACACACACATGCACACAACAGTATTTAACCGTGTGATCCATGGATAATTAGATGACCTATCTTATCTATAAAAAACCCTTCTTGGGGCGCCTGGGTGGCTTAGTCGGTTAAGCGTCCGACTTTCGCTTAGGTCATGATCTCGCGGTTCGTGGGTTCGAGCCCCGCGTCGGGCTCTGTGCTGACTGCCAGCTCAGAGCCTGGAGCCTGTTTCAGTCTGTGACTCCCTCTCTCTCTGACCCTCCCCTGCTCACGCTGTCTCTCTCTCTCTCTCCTATAAAAAAAAAACAAACATTAAAAAAAAAAACCCTTCTTCACTTCCTCTCTCTCTTCTCCTGGTGACTTCTCTTCATCATTTCCTGCTTCAAAAGTCAGTTCCTCCAGGGGTGCCCGGGTGGCTCAGTTGGTTGAGCGTCTGGCATCGGCTCAGGTCATGATCTCACAGTCTGTGAGTTCGAGCCCTACATTGGGCTCTGGGCTGACAGCTCAGAGCCTGCTTCGGATTCTGTGTCTCCCTCTCTCTCTGCCCCTCCCCTGCTCATGCTCTGTCTCTCAAAAATAAATTTTTAAAAATGTTAAAAAAATTTAAAAACAAAAACAAAAGCCAAATCCGGCTCCCCTGACGTGAATCCTTCTTCGACTTCTTCTTGAGGAACCTCTGAACTGATTTATGCCTGTGTGTACTTTTATTATCGGGACTTTGGATTTGTGGTGCACCTTCCACTGACCTGGGAACCCCTCTAGGGGAAGGGACTGAGTAAACTCTTGTGAGATAGAGCCCCACACGGAGCCTGCTTGGGATTCTCTCTCTCCCTCTCTCTCTTTGCCCTCCCCCTGCTCGTGCTCTCTCTCTCTCTCTCTGTCAAAATAAATCAATAAACTTAAAAAAAGAAATCATTAAGGACCCCTAAAAGCTTTAAAGATAATGAGACCAAGTGTAGGAGCCGCAAGATGGGGAGTGCTTTGGGGAATCTCTCCTGGGGGGTAAGTGGTTAGGCAGCCCTGCCCCTCTCTGGACTCTGGCCAGCAGTCTTTAAGACTCAGGTGATCCCCTCACTGGCGACAGCCTCCCTTCTTTCTGGTGAGATCCCTCCCCACCTTCAAGTCAGCTGGACAGAAACCATCTCTGGCACCTGGACCCAGCCACACATGGTTTCTCATTTGATCTTAACAATCACCCCAGAGGCAGATGTAATGACTTCATCCTTCACAGACAAGGAAACAGAGGCCAGGAATTGCTTCACAGATGAGAAAAAGGAAGCCAAAAAGGCACCTGGCCAAAGTCTCGCAGTGAGGGAGATGGAGTTGTGGCTTCCACCTCAGCGCTCCAGACAACGGCGGTTGTGACATGTATGCCGCTTGGACTTTTAGCGTTGGCATGTGCAGAACACACTCGAAACAGGAAATGGCTTTCCCCTGGTGCACTCTCCACCCTTCCTCTTAATATCCCAAAACGGGAACAGCTCTTCAGGAGCTGTGGTTGGTTACTCGTGGAAAGGAAGTCCAGCAGAGATGCGAGCGAGGTGAGGAAGCCAGTCAGATGGAGAGCTCGTAGAAGACCATTCCGGGGAAGAGGGAACAGCAAATGCAAAATCCCTGAGGCAGGGGCCTGCTAGACAGATCCTGGGCGCTGGGAGGCCACTATGGCTAGAACAAAGGAGTGACAGGAATAATGTAGGGAAAGGATCAGAGAGGGCACGTGGTCTTCAGGCCTTCCATTCATTGAATGAATGGAAACTAGTGGATGGCTTTGCACAGAGCAGTGACCTGACCATAGCTAGGTCTTTTTTTTTTTAAATGTTTTTATTTATTTTTGAGACAGAGAGAAACAGAGTATGAGTAGGGGAGGAGCAGAGAGAGAGGGAGACACAGAATCCGGAGCCGGCTCCAGGCTCTGAGCTGTCAGCACAGAGCCTGACGCAGGGCTCAAACCCACGAACTGTGAGATCATGACCTGAGCCGAAGTCAGACACTTAACCGACTGAGCCACCCAGGTGCCCCCATAGCTAGGTCTTAAAAGAGATGGAAGAGACCTCTGTTTAGTAGCACCACAGCCTCCAGCTCTGGGATGAGCTACACCCGGACCCATTCCCAGCTGAGGGGCCTTGGCATTCTGTCTCTCAATCTTAGTTCTACAGGAAATAACAATAAAAGTCCAGCTGGGCACCCTTTGCTCCCTGCTGCCGACATAACTGGGCCAAGCTTTTGTGTAGGCAATGGGGAGGGGAGGGAGTCAACCCCCGGGGCTGGTGTGTTTAATGTGGAATTTCCTAGACGAGGTGATAATGGTCTCGTGGAATTTCCTAGACGAGGTGATAATGGTCCCGTGAGGGTGCAGGCCTCATTCAGTCCACCAGTATCTAGCCAGCATCTACCTGTTGGGAGCCTCGGACTCCTTCTGCCTCAGGGGAGGTGGGGGGATGGTCAATAAGCCAGCACCAAGCCCATGCACAGTCACGGTAGCCAGAAATGGATGGCCCCCACCATCTCAAAGTTCAGGCCTGTGGGTCACGGCACAGAGAGCTTGTCTCCAGAAGTTCATTCCACTGCTCAATTGTCAAGGCAAGCGGCCTTTTCTGGCCCTGCTCCTAGACCTGGGCAGGCTCCGGAAGGAGAAGTCTTGGAGTCCCAGGGCTCCTCTCCTGTAAAGGACTTTCCACAGTTGAGCTCTTACACAGATTAGCAGGATTCTTTGAGGTCTCTCCCCCGACCCTTCTAAGAACTACAGGGCCTGGGAAAGGCTTTGCCTGTTTCCTCCACAGCTGTGCCCTTGGAGCACCCCCAGCATGGTCCCTGACGTCTAAGGGGCGATCAAGCAATAGGCCGAGTGGGTAAATGATAAAGGAGAAAGGCAGGTTAATGCTGTTCCCTTTTACAGGCCAGAAAACGTGCCTAGACAGGCGGTGTGACTGCCTCCTGGCCCAGTTCCTAGAGCAGGAGCACCCAGGGGCACAGGGCCACCCACACCCGTGGCCTCCAGGGCCCTCCAGTCCCCTGCAGAGCCAGTCCTAGGACGGGTTCCCCAAGGAAAAGACCCAGGGCAGGAGTGGAGCAAGTAACAGCCTATTAATAACAATAACAGCAATTAGAATGTACCGACACTCATCTTGCACAGCCACTCTTGGAGGCGGGGTGTATTAGCACCCTTATTTTAAAGATGAAGAAACGGGGCACAGGGAGGTAAGTGGCATGCCCAAGGCAGTGGCAGGCAGAGCCGAGACAGTGGAAGCGTGAGGCTGCACTCATTGAGCTGCCTTTGCTGCAGCGCCGAACATCAGCGTAGATAGATGTCAGAGGTCAAGTGTTCTTCGAGCTCTGCCTTGGGTGCCCCATGCCTGCGCCCCATGTCCTCATTTCCTCAGCTGTAGACCGTGATCATTCATAAAGCCTAGCCTTCTGGGGTGTTGGCTGACCAATGCACGCAGAGCTGAGTACAGTGCCTGGCGCACAGTAAACGATCAATAAATGTTAATTAGTGATGTTGTTTGTTATTGGTAGGAGTGTTTCTGGTCCCGGAATGGAGGGCTGTAGGGCGGTATCCTTGCCGAGGGTAGGTGAGGTCATCCAGGGAGGCAGGGGTGAGGGGCCCCTCTCCCGCCGGCACCAGGCGGAGCAGGAGCAGGCGGGGCGAGAGTGTAGGGAACAGCGGCCCCGCCCCTCCCGACTTTTTAAAAAAGGGGACTCTGGGCGCAGGCGCAGACTAGTCCAGCCATCCGTCTCGCGCCGGCCCCGACTCGCACGCGCATGGAGGGGCGCGCGAGCCCCCCGGGTGGGGCCCGGGGCCGCGCCGCGGCGGCCGTGCTGTGCCGCGGCCCCGTGGAGCCGCTTATATTCCTCGCCAACTTCGCGTTGGTCCTGCAGGGCCCGCTCACCACGCAGTACTTGTGGCACCGCTTCAGTGCCGACCTCGGCTACAACGGCACCCGCGACAGGGGCAGCTGCAGCAACCACAGCGCGGACCCCGTCATGAAGGTACCGGCGCCGGAGGGGCGCGCGGCAGCGGCGCGGGGTGGGCCGCGGGGCGGAGCGATGGGGCCGCCGACGGGGCGGGGCCTGCGTCTGGGCGAGGCCAGGCTGCGGGGGGGGGGCGTCGGGGGTGGTATGGAGATTGGGTAGTGGGCGGGGCCAGAGCCCGGCGGGCGCCCGACCGACCAGTGAAGTGTCGGGGCTGCTTCAAGTTCCTCTAAATAGAGCAAGGCCGGGAGGATTAGCAAAAGGGAGTTAAAAAAAAAAAAAAAAAAAAAAAGAGGGGCGCCTGGGTGGCTTAGTCGGTGAAGCGTCCGACTTTCGCTTAGGTCACGATCTCACGGTTCGTGGGTTCGAGCCCCGCGTCGGGCTCTGCTGACTGCCAGCTCAGAGCCTGGAGCCTGTTTCAGAGTCTGTATCTCCCTCTCTCTCTGAGCCTCCCCTGCTCACGCTGTCTGTCTCTCCTAGAAATAAATAAAAATATTAAAAGAAAAAGAAAAAGGAAAAGGGACTGGGACCGTGGTCCGTCCCCCTTAACCCAGGGCCGGTTCTCGGAGGTTCAGGGCTCCAAAGAGAGTCCCCATCCCGGTATCTCCCAGGGTGGTGATGGTTTGGGGGGCGGGGCGAGGCAACCCGGAGTGAGCAACGGCACGCTGGTAAGACTCATGTCCCCGCAGGAAGTGGAGACCCTCACCTCCCACTGGACCCTCTACATGAACCTGGGCGGCTTCCTGGTGGGGCTCTTCTCGTTCACGCTGCTGGGTGCCTGGAGTGACTGCGTGGGCCGCCGTCCGCTGCTGGTGCTGGCCTCCCTGGGCCTCCTGCTGCAGGCCGTCGTGTCCATCTTTGTGGTGCAGCTGGAGCTCCACGTCGGCTACTTCGTGCTGGGCCGCATCCTTTGCGCTCTCCTCGGGGACTTCAGTGGCCTCCTGGCCGCCGGCTTCGCGTCGGTGGCGGACGTCAGCTCCAGCCGCAGCCGCACCATGCGAATGGCCCTGCTGGAATCGTGCATCGGGGTCGCGGGGATGTTGGCGAGCCTCCTCGGGGGCCACTGGCTCCGGGCCCAGGGGTACGCCAACCCCTTCTGGCTGGCCTTGGCCTTGTTGATAGCCATGACCCTCTATGCCGCGTTCTGCTTTGGTGAGACGGTGAAGGAGCCAAAGCCTGCCCGGCTCTTCACGCTCCGGCACCACCGCTCCCTTGTCCGGCTCTACGTGACTTGGGCCCCGGAGAAGTCCAGGAGGCATTTAGCCCTGTACTCGTTGGCCATCTTCATGGTGGTCACTGTGCACTTTGGGGCCCAGGACATCCTGACCCTCTATGAGCTGAGCAAGCCCCTCTGCTGGGACTCCAAGCTGATCGGCTACGGTTCTGCGGCTCAGCACCTCCCGTACCTCACCAGCCTGCTGGGCTTGCAGCTTCTGCGGCACTGCCTGGCTGACGCGTGGGTGGCCGAGATTGGCCTGGCCTTCAACATTCTGGGGATGGTGGTCTTTGCGTTTGCTACCATCACCCCCCTCATGTTCACAGGTAAAGTGTGTGGGCTCGGGGACAGCGTGTCCCAGAGGCGCTGGGCGAAAGTTGGGGGGCAGACGCTCCCCAGCCCTGGGTTCACGCCTGTGTCTGGAAACGCTGTTGTGCTCCTCGCCTGCAGCGGAGGACAGACAACGAGGAAACTTCATAAAAATGCCATCTTTGTCAAATGGAGGAGATAGACCTTCAGTAATTAATCCTCATTATCAACTATAAACGTCATTAGTAAGATAGAGCAAAAGACAGAAGTATGGCTCGTAGGCTAATTGCCCCACTCCTTGGCCTCCCATAGCTGGTATTTATGGGGTTCGTATACAAAGTCCAGGCCACTAATGCCCTAATGCTCGCTTCTCTGATACGAATCACGGGCCCTACCTCAAACATCTTTGGTCAGCTTCTTTGGGTTTAAAAAAAAAAAAAAAAAGCCAGTCTTCTCAGACCACAGATATCAGATTCCTGTCTGCGTTAGTTCTTTTTCTTGTTCTTTTTTTTTTTTTATTTCCCGGTAGGAGAGGGGCGGCTGGAAATGAGGAAGTGAACTTGTTTAAAGGAACAGATGAGGGGCGCCTGGGTGGCTCCATCAGTTATGTCTCTGACTCTTGGTTTCGGCTCAGGTCACGATCTCTCGGTTCGTGAGACGGAGCCTCGTGTCGGGCTCTGCACTGACAGTGTGGAGCCTGTTTGGGATTCTCTCTCTTTCTTTCTCTCTCCGTCTCTGCCCCTCCCTAACTCACGTGCACACTCCCTCTCTCACACACCCTCAAAATGAATAAATAGGCTTTAAAAAATGAAAGGAACAGATGAATTTTGCTAGAGTCCTAAAATACATTGTTTACAAAGTCAGCTGGTCAGCAACCCCTGATTTTTTTTTTATATATATTTTTAATGTTTGTTTATTTTTGAGAGAGAGGGAGACAGTGTGAGCTGGGGAAGGGCAGAGAGGGAGACACAGAATCTGAAGCAAGCTCTGGGCTCTGAGCTGTCAGCACAGGGCCCGACGTGGGGCTCGAGCCCACGGACTGAGAGATCATGACCTGAGCTGAAGTCAGACACTCAATCAACTGAGCCACCCAGGCGCCCTGACAATGGAAATTTATTCTTGCACAGTTCTGGAGGCTGGATGCCAAGCATCAGTCTCACTGGGGTCGAAATCAAGGGTAGCAGGCTCCCTTCGGATGCTCTCGGAGGGAATCTCCCTCACCTCTTCCAGCTTCCAGCGGTTGCTAAAGTTCCTTGGCTTGTGGCCGTGCCACCCTAATCTCTGCCTCAGTGGTGACATGGTCTCTTCCTCGTCCGTGTGCCTTCTCTGTCCCGTGTCACATCTCCCTCTGTTTCCCTCTAAGGACTCGTGTGGTTGCATTTAGGGCCCAGTCTGGTAAGCCAGGAAAATCAGCTCAGCTCAAGATCCTTAACTTAAACGCATCTTCAGGGACTCGTTTTCCCAATAAGGCAGCACTTACAAATTTCAGGGGTTCACACCTGATATCTTAGGGGGGACCGTCCTTCAGCCTCCTATACCCAGAACCATCCCGTGAGGAGGGCTTTGTTATCCTCTCACCGATAGGAGTCACGTCCAAGGCCACACAGTTAGGAAGTGACGGTGGTGGGTGTAGAACTCGGGGCTGACTCCAAAGCCCGTGCTTGTTTTCTGGGCCATGCCATCTCACGTGCGAGATGGGTGGGTGACGCCTGCAGTGACCACCTGCAGAGGTGTTGTGACAAGGACACGGTGGGGAATCAGCATTCACTCATGAAAGAGGGAGCAGCCTTGAGACGAGTAGTCTCCCTTCCTCGTTGGTCGCTGTCTCCTTCACCAGCAAGGAAGTTCTTCCTGTGTCCAGCCTGAGGCCCGCATGGGGTATGCATAGGAGTTCTGCTACGTAGGGTGCTGGGCCCCCCCTCCCTGACTGCATTTCTTTCTCTGCAGGGTACGGGCTCTTGTTCCTGTCGTTAGTCACCACCCCCGTCGTCCGGGCCAAGCTCTCCAGGCTGGTGGGCGAGTCCGAGCAGGGTGAGTGGCAGGGTCAGCCTGCATCTGGTGCCCCCTGCCCAGGGTTGGCTGGACTGGGCAGAGCGCAGCTGTGAGCCGCCAGGCGGCTTACCTGCCTCCCTTCCACCCAGGGGGAGTTCGTAGCCAAGAGAGAGTGCCTGGGGCTGGCCCGGGGCCACAGTGCCTCAGATTTTCCGATCTCAGGGTTGGAATGTGCAGTCGGCAGAACCCCCTTGTGCCCCCGGGTATCCCACGCCCAGGAGTGACTCTCCAGAACTCCGCTTTTCCAGCTGCGGAAGGCATGTGACGGTGCTAGAGTTCCCTGCCTCCCCAGGGTCTGCGCGCAGGCTTAGAGGAAGCAGACGACCTTTCAATATTTCCTTGTTCCCAAGTGACACTTGAAGAGGCAGAGACCCAGAGGGTTCAATCGGGTCACTCAAGGTCACTGAGTAAATGGTGGAGCTGGATGCAAACCCGGGTCTATTCTTCAGAGCAGCAGGTCTTGGGGTGTGGTTTGGGGTCCTGGCTCTGTCACCCAGAGCTGTGAGCCCTTGGGCAGGTCCCTTACCGTCTCTGCACCCGTTCCCTCGTCTGTTACGTGAGCGGTTTGCTCTTGATGACAAGGCCTTTGCAGCTCTTGACAGCCTGATAGGGTTCAAACTCGACTTCCCTTGGGTTGTTGCTCATTTTGCAACATTTGGGTCCTGCTGGCATGTCTGTAAAGAATAGCCTCTCAGGCCTCTGGGTCTTTAGACCCTAGTCTGGAAACATCCGGCTCCTGCACTTTTCCCCACCTGCCCTGGACGGAGGATCTGGTGCCGTATGTAGCCCAGTAAAGGTTCATTTTCTTGCCTTCCAAAACCATTTACCTTCATTCATTCCCTCAGTAGGCTCTTTTTGCAGCACCTTCCCTCTGCCCTGAGATGCCAAGGGGAACGGGAGAAAAGAGCAGCCCTTACTAACTTACTATGCCAGGGGGCCTGTGGCGGATACTTTACATGTGAATTTAATGTTGCCAGCAGTCTATGAAATAGGTATTAGCCTTATTTAACAGAAGGGGAACAGAAACCCAGAACGATAAGCAGCTGATTCATCAACCACACAGATAATAAGTGTTCGAACTGGGAATTAACCCAGCAATGAATCCCAAACAGGAGATGATTTCAAAAGGAGATAAACAAAAACCGTTTTATCAGGCTTTTTGGTAGAAGATCTCACATGTACTTTTAATACATGGATTTAATAACAGCCATTTGTCTGTAGCCCCGTGTGCCAAGTGCTTTCTGTGCATGATCTCATTGAATCCTTACCACGATGCACGATGGAGGATTTATCGTCGAGGGAGATAAGACTCAGAGAGGTTAAGTGACTTGCCCCAGGTCACACAGCAGCGAGCTAGGGGTGGTAGGATTTGAATCTAGGTCTTCAGACCTCACTGGGTGATGCTTATTTCTTCACAGGTGCCCTCTTCTCTGCTGTGGCCTGCGTCAATGCCTTGGCCATGCTGATGGCTTCTGGCATCTTTAACTCTCTCTACCCAGCCACCCTGAACTTTATGAAAGGGTTCCCCTTCCTCCTGGGAGCCGGTCTCCTCTTCATCCCGGCCATCCTGATTGGGTAATGTTGGGCTCTGACCCCTGCTCATAATACCCTTTATCCCAAAGTTGTCCTCCTCCCGCCCCAACCAGAACCTACTCCAAAAACCATTCTGCCCGATTCTCCCCTTGCAGACAGCCAGCCGCCTGATCATCTGAGAACCATTGCCCGAGGGCAAGGCAGAGGAGCGGCTGCGAAGGGTCAGGCGAGCACTGCTTGTTGGCAAGGCTGTGTCCTCTTCCTCAGCTCCCCTCATCCTTCATTCCCATTTCACAGATGGAAGTGTGGTGGCACAAATGTGCTCAAGGGGAGCCTGGAGAACTTCCTCAGCTCGTTATGTCTAGGCCACAGGCCAGTCTGAACTACTGACTTCCTCCCCCGTAGCCCTAAGAGTTGCTTTCCAGAGCCTTCTGTCTCTATACATTGCCTTGTCTTCCTCCGCCCAGCTTTGGGAGAAAGACCTATACCAGCCCACCCAGTAAGGCCTTGCCACATCTTGTCACATCTCTTTTAAGAGTTGAGGCTGTCTCCCCACGTCAAACCTGAACCCTCTCTCTGGTCTCTCACAGGGCGCTGGAAAAGGCTAACCCTCGCCCTGAATTCCAGCAGTTTCCCCAGAGCCCCTGATCCGCCTGGACCCGAGGACAGAGGGCGGTGAGAGCAAAGTGAACACTAACCAGCAGAAAGCACGCGACCGGCTCCCAGCAGCCCCAGCACTGCCCCGCACAGGGCAAGTGCCAGCCTTGGACAGAGTGGCCAAGCTAGACTGCTGGGCCAGACTATGACTCGAATCTAGAACTGTAACCCACACAGCCCAACTTCGGGAGGCAGGGAGGGGGCCATCGGGAATGGGGTCTGTTTACCCTTGACCATCAGCGGCACCGAACCCTCCAGGGGAGAGGAGAGGTCCCCGATGCAGGTGACGCCGCAGGGACCAGTTGAAGCACGAGGGCTGGCATCTCTGCTTCCCCAGCCCACACCGCACAGCTCACAGGGCTCCGTTCCTTGTGCACAGCCACCAGCCACTCCTGCGGTCAGATGTGGTTCTGAGGGGAGGCGGTGAGAGGGGCCGGTTCCCTTCTGGAAAGTGCTGCTGTCTCTGGCTGGAATCCATCCTCTGGACTTAGCAGTGCCAATCACAATAAATCCATGTAATCACAGTGAAGTGAACCTTCTGGCCCCCGAGGCATGGGCCGTGGGGCTCTCTGCTTTCCTGGTCCCAGCCTGCCTGCCATAGGCCAGATAGCTGCAGCTTCTGGGCTGGGCGGGAGCCCCTGAGCTGCCATGGGATTGTCTGGGGCATGGGCAGCCCCTGCCGCATCTGACTGCACATCCTCTTCCCCTGAGCTGCTGGGGTGTGGAGGCTGCCAGGCTGGCATCAGGCTCCTGGGGAGATGCGGGCAGGAGCCCATTCCTGAGGGTCAGAGATCCGCTCACTGAAGGCACCTGCATTGGTCGGCCCGGCTGCACCAGCACAAGCAGTGACAGCTTTTGTCACTGCTCAGCCCTCCAGCACTCGCACTGGCACTCATTTCAGGAGGGCCATCCTTCGTGCAGCTGCAGGTCAATGGGAACCTGGAGATGGACCTGACTCCCCGATATGACCCGGGGGCCCCAGCTCCTCAGAGATTGTGGGGCCTGTTTCTAGGGTGTTGGGAAAGCCTGGACCAGAAGCTGGAAGGCAGGGCTGGCTTCAGTTTCAAGGCACCAGCTTTGATGAGGGCTGCAGGCTGCCACAGGGCCCAGATCAGGTGGCACCCAGTGCAAGCATGAACCCGCCATGGGGCTTGGTTCCTGCTATGCTCCTTCTCCCTCCCCTGCCCTGGGAATCACACAGGTGAAGTGGGGGTGGGGCAGGACAAACCAGAGTCAGCAGTGGCCTCTGTAGCCTGGGCCTGTTCCCAGATTCTCATCTCCCTGCCTCTGTCACTGGAAGACCAAAGCAAGGAGAGGGCCTTCTGCTGACTGTCCCGGCATGAGGCACTGAGGAAGGTCAGGAAAAGGCTCTGGGCTGGTCTCAGGTCTGGGTGCTACTTTGGGCACCGCCTCTGGCTTGCCTGTGACCTTGAGCAAGGCCTCCTATGAAGGGCTAGGTCAGCAATGCCCCAGATTATCTGAACGCGGGTGGACAGGTTAGGAAACACTGGATTTAGATAGTGTTCTGAGACCCTTCCCACCTCCTACATGCTGGAATGAGATGCCTCCTCATGGACATGCGCTCCTTAGTCCCTGGGGAGAGGGGTAAGGTGGGGTGGGTAGGACCTAGCCGATGCCCAGCCAAGCAGAAGAGCCCAACCTTGCAGACCTGCGTCAGAGCAGGCTTTGGGGGGAAAGGCTACCTCCCAGCCCTCTGGTCCAGGACCAGCCCTGTGGGGCCAGGCCCGGGTGGAAGGCGAGGGCCAGGAGAACACACTGGCCCGGCTGGGGGGTCGTCACCTGGGCCGCTCTGGCGGGACTGGCAGCTGGGCTCTGATTCCCCGGAGACAGGCAGGCAGCAGTAGAGGGTGTACGAACAGCCCACGACCTCTCTGAATACTGCCCATGGGGCATCTCTGGAGGGAGTGGGACTGATCGGGGACAAAGAGAAAGCTTCCCCTGGAGGGTAGTCATCCCACGCTATTGTTACTGTCTCTGCTCTGCAAAGGCAGCGTCCAGTCTGCTTCAGTCATCATCGCACCCAGGGCCTGGCACTGAAGGGCACTCGTGTGGCATGAAGGCATCGAGAGCAGTGGAGGCCAGAGCTGGGGCCAGGACCCGCTTAAGACCGTGTCTCCGGCCGGAGGGGGAGTGGAAGGAATGAGTCCCAAGCCTGAAGCGAGACCTTTGACTTTTCTGATGATGTGGCTCGAGAGCTCCGAGTGACCCGGGCAGCACCTGTGGGAGGTGGTTCTGGAAGCTGAGCCAGCCTGAGGTGTGAGCTCATGGCCCCGGGGCGGGGAAGAGGCAGGGCCGGGTCCAGCTGACCCTGTTAGCCAAAGCCTGGGTTTACTGGAGGGAGGCCACCTCCTTGCTCCCCTACCCTAGTGGGGAAAGGGGCTGAGGGACATTCCTGCTCATTTATCTCTGCACAGCTCCTGGGTCAGCCTTACTTTGTGCAAATCCATCTCGCCCTGCTAGACTCTTGGAGCAAAGGAGAAAGCAGCCCTGCCCGGGGTACAGCCTCCTCCGGGATGACTCTCAGGATGGGCAGTGGACAGAGCACCAGGCAGCCTGGCCTGGGTCCCGGGACTGCCACCAGTGATTTGGGAAATGGTGCGTCCTTCACTTCCCTCTCTGTCACATGGAGATCACCCCGCGTAGGGTTTGCTTCGGTGCCTACAGAAACCATGGAGCGGTGTGTCTGGAAGACGGCAGATACTTGTGAGGGATTTGTGTTTCAGAGCCTTGCTCGTTCAAGGGGGTCATTCCTTGACCACCAGCATCCACTCCCCTGGGAATTAGTGAGCAATGCAGAAACCCAGGCCCCGCCCTGGTCTCTTGAATGCAATTTTAGCAAAATTCCCAGGAGGGGGGGGATTCAAATGCACGCCTGGGCCTTCAGGATCTTGGCTCTCCACGTGTTGCCGCAGATTCTGCCCAGACTGCTGCCATTGCCACAGGGTGCTGCCTCCCCCCGGCCTCCCCTCCCCCCGAGCACGTGGGTGGGGAAGGGGCCTGGGAAACCAGCCGAGCCAGGCCAGCAGGGACCTGAGGCACAGCGACAAGGGTTAGTAGGGTGGCTAGCTGCCCGTTGAGACGGCCTCAGCTGCCCAGGCCCAAGCAGGGGGCTCCTTTGCACCACCGAGTGCAGCAAAGCTGGCCGTAGCCGCAGACCAGCCAGAGTGAGGGTGGGCTCAGCCCTGACCTTGGATGTGGCTAAGGGGGCTGCACCTCAGAAAGGCTGGGAGGGGACTTGGGACCAGGCCAGGCCAGCTAAGGACACTGAGTGGTTACAGGTCAAGGCCACAGGGTGGCAGGAAGCGGTGTGCCCAGAAGCCAGGCATGATCTAGGTGGAGAGCCGTCACTGGACCATGGTGCCAGCTGGCCAGGAGCCGGGTCCTGGCCCCGCTGAGAGGGTGGCCGTGGCCCTGACTCTTGTCAGAGGCTGCCTGCCTTCCCCCTACTCAAGCTGTCAGGGTGAGAGGGGGTGTAGTGTGCCTTTCCCACACCTGAGCTAGAAAACCTGGTGGCAGGGCCTGGGGCTGGGGTCTGACCCTCACCACCCCCAATGCCCGGCTTCCCTTCCCTTTCCAGACTCTAAGGTGGCCCATGGGGGTGGGGAGAGAGGGACAGTCATTTCCTGAGAACGGCCCAGGCTGCTGGCCGCTGAGGGGGGCCGGTTTGAGGAGCTGCTTCTTCAGGGGGGACGACGGAGATGGGGGTCACGGCAGGGCTTGGGAACGAAGGGCTGGTTAAGTCGGGCCCATGGGGGCGGCCCCCTCCAAACTGGTGTCCGAGCCTGCGGACGAGTCCCGGGAGGAGCGGCCCTGCAGGAAGCGGATGATCTTCTCAATTGTGGCCTCTTGGTACTCGTGAGACCACCTGTGGGCACAGAGGCTCGGGGTCAGAGGGCCGGCGGACGGGCCGCTGGCTGTGGGCTGGGCACCCGCCCCCACTCCTCACTTGATGCCGTTGAAGGTGAGCACAGCCTGCATGTCCTCGGGCAGGTCCTGGGGCTCCGGCCACTCGAAGCCATCGATGATGGGCACAATGTTCTTGCCGTAGCTCAAAGCAGTCACAATCTCCTGGAGACAGAAAAGAGGGGAGGAGGAAAGAGACATGGGTCCCCATCTAGGGACCTGGGGGGCCAACCACCCAAGGCCGAGCCCGGGGTGGGGTGCTGGTGCTGAGGCCCACCTTGACCTCGCCCTCACCTTTTGTGGTATATATTTGGTTTTTGCCCCCGATCCTTGGCATACAGCTCCTGAAACCCTGGGAGTCCCCAGCCGACTGGAGGATGGGGGTGGGGGTGCCTGGACAACTTCCTGCCGGGGGCTTGTTGCCGGGAAGACCAAGCTATGATGAACAGGTTGGGACTTTAAGTACCCCACATACATTCACGCACTCGCACGCGCGCATGCGCTCACACACCCACACACACACACACACCCCTCCTAGGAGGGAGAGGGGTGGAGACTGAGTTCCCTCACCAGTGGCCAATGACTTAATCATGCCTACATCGTGAAACTTCGTAAACCCCCCCAAGGACAGGATCGGTTGGTGAACACATCTAGGTGTTGAAAGGGTGGCCTGGAGAGGGCCCGGGAGCTCTGTGCCTCCCCTGCGCGAGCCCGCAGCCCCATACCTTGCCCCAGGCAGGCCTCTCTTACATTTGGATGTTCCTGAGTTATATCCTCTTCAATGAACCAGTAATAGTTAAGTGCTTTCTGAGTTCTGCAAGTCCTTCTAGCAAATTATTGAGTGGCCAGGGGGAGCGGCGGGGGGGCGGGGGGGATGTGTACATTACAGGAACTACTGACTTGGAGGTCAAGTCAGACAAGTGTGGGTAGCCTGGGAACCCAGGACTTTCAACTGGTGTCTGAAGGGAGGGTGGACTTGTGGGGCGGGGTCCTTAACGCTCTGGAGTCTGACACTTGCTCTGGGTAAGTCCACATCAGAATTGAACTGAACTGTGGGACACCCAGATGGTGTTGGCAAACTGGGAGAATTGGTTTGTTGGTGTTAGAAAAAACCCACACGGTTCGGTGTCAGAAGAAAGACATCACCCGCTGCAGCCAAACTGATCTATCACCAGCCCTGCCAATTTGTATTTCTTACTTGTTTCTCAAATCCACCCATTTGTCTCTCCCACCCCGCCACCACCCTGCTCCAGCCCCCCTCATCTTTATCTCCTCATCCACTCTCAGCCCCTCTAACTTGTTCTCTACGTTGCCCCTTCACCTGGCGGCTCTTTGCAAAATGCAAATCTGATCACGTCATCCCCTGCTTAAAACTCTTCCAAGATTTTACATGGCTCTTAGAATAAAATTCAAACTCCTTAATGTGGTCTAAGGCCCTGTGTGGTTGACCACAGCTCACTTCTCAGACTCCACCCCTGTGCTGTTCTCCCAGCCACACAGATCTTGTAGCCCCTTACATCTGCCATCCCCTCTCCTGCACAGGGCCTTTGCACATGGTGTTTCCGCTGTCTGGAACGCTCTTCTCTGCCCTTTCCCCCAACTAATGCCTTCTCATTTTTCTGATCTGATCTGAGCTCACTCCATACTTTCCCAGGGAAGTCTTCCCTCACTTCTCTGACTAGGCCCCTCTCCCTATTACAGGCTCTTATAATAGGCTCTTCAGCACATGCTACAGTTGCAAACTTAAATTAGTTAATGAGTAATTTACTTAATGCCTGTCTTTCCCATGTGTCTGGTTTTTACCCATCTTGTATCTCAGCATCTTTTACAAAGCCTTGTCCATAGTCAGCCCTTGCCAAAAACTTAATGGATGGCTGGATGGTTGGAATGAAGAAAGAAAGAAAGAAAGAAAGAAAGAAAGAAAGAAAGAAAGAAAGAAAGAAAGAAAGAAAGAAAGAAAGAAAGAAAGAAAGAAGGAAAGAAAGAAGGAAGGAAGGAAGGAAAGAAAGAAAGAAAGAAAGAAAGGAAAGGAAGGAAGAAAAGAAAGAAAGAACATAGCATAGCAATTAGGGGCTGTACTCTGGAATCATCAGATGAGGGTCCACATCGAATCTCTGACACAGGCTTTATGGCCTGAGGCAAACAACAGGCGCTCAAAGCCTCTGTGTTTCTCATATAAAAAATAAGGTTCAAAATAGGGCTCACGACAGTCCCTGTCTGGTGGGGTGGTTGGGGATACCTGTGATGTCCCACGAGTGGTTAGAATAGCGCCCAGCATGCAGTGGGTGCTTAATAAATAACAGGTGTTATTATTTCCTCCTCTGCAAAGGGGGATAATAAGCCTACTTCACAAGGTTGTTCTGAAGATATTACTTACTATTAATGGGTGCTCTGGTAAGTGCTTATTGAATGTTCTTTTCCTTTCAAGGGGGAACCTCAGGGATTGGACTTTTTTGAGTGCAGTTCACTTGTGGTTTTCCATATTGATTACCCACTAAATGTGGCTTCAGGGAAAGGAGTTTTAAAGCCAGAGGCAATCAAGCACTAACAACAACCAAGGAAGGCTGATGGAGCCTTTGGGCCTGGGCCAAGGCCAAGGCTCCCACCACCCCACCTGCCTCCCCACTCCTTACGATCTGCTGGGACAAGGCTGGGTGTCAGGCACCCTTACGGAGCAGAGCCTTCCTGGGGAAAGAGCTTGCATGACTTCCACCTTGGTTGGCTTTGGGGGACCCTCTCCATTTTATGAATGAGAAGAAGGAAGTCCAGAGAGGGGAAGGCCTTGCTCCCAAGTCACACAAATGCCCAGGCCCTGAGGGGCCAGGTCTCTCAGTCAAGCCTTCAGATTCCAAGTCCAGGGCTCTTTCAACCCCTCTGCCTCTCTGCTGAGAACCTGTATGAATTTGGATCCTGCAGACATTGATTTGGGAGCCTTTAGACCTTTGTTTTAACCAGAATTACACACAACCACTGCACAGATTCAGAGTCTGGCCGAGAGAGGCTTGTTCAAGGTCACCCAGCAGGTTCAGAACGAAAACTTGACTGGAGTCAGGTGTTCTGGCCTGGCAAACCTGGGGGATAGATCTGCTCCATCTGTTTAATCTTTGATTCACTCCTTCCATAAACTCTTCAAGAGCCCGCTTTGCACCCTGCGTGGCTGTGGGCATCCGGGATACGGAGTGACCACGGCAAGGTCTGAACTCCCGTGGGGCGGGCCACATACCACCTGCTCTGGGCCGTCAACCATGATCTTCCAGGAGTCTCTTTGGCCCACACCAAACCAAGCCCAGTAGTCAACCCCTAAAACATGGCTTCTGGGGCCTGACCCTCTTCCCCACTGTCAGTCTGGATGCTCTGGTGTCAGAGCCTTCTTCCAACAAGCCCTGGCCTGGCGTCACGGCCCTTGTGGGATCCCTCTTCCCAGTGCTTTCAATATAGGTCTTCTCCCAGCCTTTAGGTACTCTGCAAACTGGTTCCGTGGTTCATTTCCAGCCAGTGGTGTGCTGGTCAGCGTGTAACAGTGAGTTCTCGGGGCGCCTGGGTGGCTCAGTCGGTTAAGCGTCCGACTTCGGCTCAGGTCATGATCTCATGGTTCGTGGGTTCGAGCCCCGCGTCGGGCTCTGTGTTGACAGCCAGCTCAGAGCCTGGAGGCTGTTTCAGAGTCTGTGTCTCCCTCTCTCTCTCTGACCTTCCCCTGCTCACGCTGTCTCTCTCTCTCTCTCAGAAATAAATAAAACATTAAAAAAAATTTTAAACAACAACAACAAAAAACAATGAGCTCTCTGGGGTGTGGGACAACCAACCAAATAAAACCCTGATTTGTACTGTTTACCAACTTCCTCAGCGTAAATACGCCCACCGTGACTGATTTCGGGCTACCAACACGATGTCACCGAACGTGGAGTTGGGAAGAGATGCGGACAATCATTTCCGGTGGCGGTTGAACCCAGCCCTATCCCTGCCCTCACACTCCCTCAGATCTGTGCCGTGAAACAGTCAGGTCCCGGGAAAGAGTGTGGGCTTTGGAGTCCGATAGACGGAGTTCAGACCCCAGCTTTTCTGATTCCGGCACCAGCGTGGCCCTGGGAAAAGTATTCTACCTCTCTGAGCCTCAGTTTCCTCATCTGTAAGCAGTTCCCAGTGATGCGCCTTCCTCTCCCCCACTTTTGTTCTTTGCTCACACAGTTCTCCCGCCTTCTCTTCCACTCAGCTAAATTCTTAAGACTCTTCTCAACTTCGGCTTCCTCCATGAAGCCTTCCCTGGTTATTCCAGACCTTAATGTTTTCTCCCTTCTCCATACCCCTCTGGGAAGTAGGAGGTTCACCCACCTCGCTTAGCACTGACACCGTCCCACCTACGATCTGGTCATTCTGGGCATATTCTCGTCTCCTAAGCTGTTTTAGGACAACAGCTCCATCTCAGATGACTGCTTTATCTCTCAGCCCAGGCCCCCGATTCCTACTCACTGATTAATAATTGATCACCTGCAGATGTGATTTGGACCCATCCATCCATTCTACAAGTATTTAGTAAGTTTCTACTATGCGTCAGGCACTAAAAATACGACGGTATTAATTAAACAGTGGTAGTACTCATAATAATTGCAATAATATGCTACCATTATAAAGCAATTACTACAGAGCTAGGCGTTCTGCTGAGCACTTCACACATTTTAGCTCTTTTAATTCTTATAACAGTATCCTAGGGAGTTAGAGACTACACTCATCCCACATTACAGTAACAAACGCGAAGCTCACTGGGATTAAGTACCTCGCCCAAGGCCAGAGCCAGGAGTCAAACTCAGCTTTGGTTTGGCTGCACCCGCCACTAGGCTCTCTGGCCCCTCTTCCCCCACAGAGGTTATTTTTCAAAGCCTTTTCACCCTTCTCACAATAATCCTATAAGGCAAAGAACACAGAGACGTTATCCCCATTTTCTAAGCGAGAAAACCGAGGCTCAGAGAGCCTAAGTGACTTGCTGAAGACCGATGACAGTCGGGGCGGTGACTTCCGGCTGCGCCGCGGAGGTGGCTGGCAGACGCCGAGGAGAAGGAACGGAGGACCTTGGCCACTGCCGGGGGCACAGAGGCCCACGCCTACCTTGTGCACCCAGTCCTTGCAGTCGTGGTCCTGCATGCACCTGTCCAGCGCCCCAGCTGACAGCACCAGCACAAAGTTGCGGGCGCCGATGACACTCTGGATGAGCTTGTCCTCGAACTTGCCCGCCTCCAGCTTCTCCACGTCAATGAAGACACTGAAGCCGTGAAGTTGCAGGTGCACCTTCAGGAGGCTGGAAGGACACCCCGCGTCACTGCCTTGGCCTCGCCCCGAGGCCCCGGCCCGCCCACCTGCCCACCCCTTCCCTCACCTGGCCAGCTGGGAGCCTGAGTTCCGGCGGTAGCTGATGAAGACATCTGGGATGTCCCCACTGGGCTTGCCGCCCGTGCAGGGCAGCGGCGAGTGTAGCATTTCTGAAGCGGACGGGAGACGGTTTGGTAAGGGCAGCCCCTCCTCATCGCTCACCATGAGGTACATCATTGCCCGCACACCCGCCTTCTCAGCCCGGCCCAGCCCAGACATGGTGGCCTGCTTCGAAAGAGGGTCACTGAGAGAGAGAATGGGCCTACAGGAAGGAGGGCCGCTAACTATTCGTGAGGGCATCTCAGGAGGTGGGCATGGTGTTGTAGGGTCGTGGATTTGCACCTCCAGCCCCGCCCTCTCTCTGGGGCTCCAACCCACATGGCCAGCTGCCCACAGACACGGCAAACCCAACACATCCCGAGTCCACCCCTGGCCCCTCCCTTCCTAGTTCCCACCGCGGCCAGAACCCGGGTATCAGCCTGAACGCCTACCTCTCATTCATTCGTTCAACGAGTATTCACGAAGCACGTACTGTGTGCCTGGCACTATCCTTTGTGCTTGGGATACAGCACGGAACGGAACACACAAGCCTTCACAAGCCCTGGCTCTGTGCTCTGCATCCTTCCTACTTCCCAGGGCCCTCCCCAGGTCCAGCCCCCAACTCAGCCTTCTCAGTGGTCTCCCCAAATCCGCACTTGCCTGGTCTCATCTGTTTGTACAGCAACCAGAGGGATTTGTCTAAAATCCAAGTCTGAGGGTGTCATTGCCGCCACTTAAAAAAATGTGCACGGCTATTTTTAAAAAATGTGTAAGCTATTTTTATAGTAGGACCTCCCTGTTTTCAAAAAATGAAATCTTAGGGGTATATTGGAAGCTGCACTGTAAAAATAATAAAAGCTGACCTGCTTTAGTTGAGCTTGCTGCATGAATAGATGAGTGGAAAGAATCCATCCTCATACAATATTCGGACCTAACACTCACAGAGAGCATTTGTCTGTTTCTGAAGCAGGAAGACAGAGGTTCAAATCCCAGCTCTGTAATTTAAGGGCTTTGGGTATGTATTGGGATTTCCCAAGGAATAACATCAGGAAATGGCTTTAAATTCTTTAAAACATAGTTTCATCTTCTTTACAATTAACACCCTTAAGGGACACGTTCTTCCTCTTAGATTATGATGGTAGTTACACATGTAAGCATTTTTCAAGATTCTTCAAATTGGACATTCTTTTTTCTTTTGTTTTCCAGGAAGCTCCACTCCCAGTGTGGGACCCGATGCCAGGCTTGAACTCATGACCCTGAGATCAAGACCTGAGCTGAGATCAAGAGTTGGACGCTCAAGGGGCGCCTGGGTGGCTCAGTCGGTTAAGCGTCCGACTTAGGGTCATGATCTCATAGTTCGTGGGTTCAAGCCCCACGCTGGGCTGTGTGCTAACAGCTTGGAGCCTAGAGCCTGCTTTGGATTCTGTGTCTCCCTCTCTGTCTGCCCTTCCCGGCCTCAAGCTCTGTCTCCCTCTGCCTCAGAAATAAATAAACACACAAAAAATAAAATAAAGTAAGAGCTGGACACTCAGCCTACGGAGCCACCCAGGCGCCCTGAAATTGGACACTTTTACATTATACCTCTTTTATTACCTACACATTTTTAAACAGTTGATTTAAAAAATTAACACCCACTGCATGGAATGGACGTAGAGATGAATGAGATAATATCTGTTTAAAACCTAAGATGTATAGTAATTGATAAATATTAGCTAAAGAGTAAATTAGCAAATTAAAATAAATTAGTAAATAAAAAGGGTTGTTTGAGCCCTAGAATCCATTCTGCCCTCACGACCTCCTCCAGAGCACCTCCAGAACCCATACTCCCTAAGCTGCTGGCTAGTGGCATAAGCTGCCCTCCCCGTGTTGCCCCCTCCTTCTAGTCTTTCCTGCATATTTGCATATACTGTTCCCTCCTTCCGAGCTGCTCTTCCTGCCACACCCCCTCCCCCAATACATCCTTCAAGACCTGGCCAGACATTCTCCACATGCCTAGCGCTGGGTGGACCGCAGTGGCGGCGCTTCCTCCCAGCCCCCGCTGGACTCCTGGCCATGCTTCCTGCTGTGGTCACCGACCCGTTTCTACACCCGCCTTACTTCCACCCTCCTACTCGGCTCAGCCTGGGAGCTTTAGAGGGCAAAGTGCAGCACGTTGGTCTCTGCACGCTCAGAACCCTGTCCGGCACCGCGCGCGTGCTCAGTCCATCCCGCGGGGCTGGGGCCAGGGCAGGGGCGGGGGCCCAGGCGGGCAGGCTCACCTCTGGCGGCCGTGAGGATGCGGGCGCGGTGCACGCCCAGGCGGACGCCGCAGTCTTCCAGGAGCTGCTGCTCGGACACGCGGTGCAGCAGGGAGCGGTCCAGGCCGCAACTGACCAGGCCGTACGTGTACTGGCGGAAGCGCGGGTCCAGGCCGCCCAGCCAGTCGGCCAGGTTGCTGCGGTCGCACGTAGCATAGTTGGCGAAGGTCTTGAGCTCCGTGAGCTCCCTGAAGAACCTGCCATCGGGAACGGGGGAGAAGAGGACGCTGAGGGTCCTGCCTGACCCCGGGACTGGCTGGTGACGGTGGGGGGGCGGGGGCGGGTGAAGGCCGGCCGGCAGGAGGCTCCGTACCTTTTGCGGGTGATGCCCGATTTCATGCCCAGGTCGGCCTGGAGCTCCTCCTCCGTGAGCCGCAGAAGCAGGTCGCCATCCACCTGCTGCTCCTGAGGGACGAGGCAGATGTAAGGAAGGGACCCCGAGCGTAACATGCAAGGACAGGGAACCGAAGAGGGAGACGGGGGAAGCGGATGGGACTCAGATCGGAGCCCAGTGACCCCGAAAGCGGCTGAGTGCAGGCTCCCACCCCCAAAACAGCCCCCTGGCGCCACGGGGATGCGGGGATGCGGGCGGAAAGGGCGCGCGGTGGCCTGTGCGCAGGGCGCCCCTAGCGGCCGCGCGCCGTTGGGATGCGCCGCTCTACCCGGAAGCTGTCGCAGTAGTGGGAGAAGCCGATCTGCTGCAGCCACGTCTGGACCTCGGCCTCCTTCCAGCTGGCCACGCAGGGCAGGATGGGCCGCGGCACCTCCTCACCCAGCAGACGCAGCGCACGCTTGTCCAGCGCCGACGTGGTGCCGTTGGTGGAGTACGAAACCAGGCGTTTCAGGCTCTGGATGGCTCCGATGTCGTTGAATACCTAGGGAGGGATGGGGAGAGGGGGTCTGGGGTCCACCAGCTCGCCAGCCATCCCCAAACGTGCCCAGTCCCTCCCCTCGCCTCTCCTCAGCAAGAAACGCCCATCATCTACCCTCGCCCTGCCTGCATCCAATATGTCACCCAGCTCTGTGGGTTCCGCCTCCTGAAACTCTCTCCACTCTTGACCTGATGCCTCCCCTCTAGCAGCTTCCATCTCCCTGGGATGAAGTCTGAGCGCTCAGTATGGCGGCCAGGCCTGGCACAGGGTAGCACCCTGCCCACCATTCTCAGCTCAACTCCCCTTTCATGATCCCATGCTTGGCTGACCCCGACCCACTAAGGCTCTCCAATCTCTGGGCCCAGTCATGGTGTTGTTCCCAGACTCCGTTCTTCCAGCCTGCTTGTGCGAATCCTAGTCATCCACTGGAATTCAAGTTGATTAGCACCCCTTCCATGCAGCCTGCTTTGATTTACCCACAGCGTGGCCCATACCTCCAATTAGCCCTTGTACTCTACATACCACTGTTAGTTGATAATGCAACTTTCACTCGGTGACAGGCTGACGTCATGTTTTAGTCACCTTTGGAGTCCTGTACCTGCAGGGTACATTGCAGGGTACAGGACGGCGGCTGCGATCTCTTTACTGAACTGCATTCACTTGACCTTGTTGGAAAAGGGGTGCCACAGGTGGTGCTCATGGCTGCTGCCCACACTCCATCTTTGGGGCCCTCACTCCCTACTTGCCTTCAAGTCCCTTTTCCCAAAGCAGAATGACCTGATTTATAAAGCCAGTCCTCCCGTGGCCCAGCTCTGGGGCATAGGGGGGAGAATCAGAAGCTCCTGGAACATGAGACCTTGGAAGAGGCCTCCCGGACCCCCCAACACAATAGTCTCTTTTTACTTTTTTATTTAAAATTTTTTTTAACTTTTAATATTTATTTTTGAGAGACAGAGAGAGACAGAGCATGAGCGGGGGAGGGATCGAGAGTGAGGTAACACAGAATCCGAAGCAGACTCCAGGCTCTGAGCTGTCAGCACAGAGCCTGACACGGGACTTAAACCCACGGATTGTGAGATCCTGACCTGAGCCAAAGTCGGACACCTAACCGACTGAGCCACCCAGGTGCCCCCACAATCGTCTCTTTTTAATCTGTGGGGACACACACAATAGGTGACCATGATCTGTGAGACGTTCTTTTCCGAGCAGCCCAGATGACAGCTGTGGTACAGACCGGATGGTCCACAAACCCCTTGCACCAGCTGTCATCAACTCCAAACCCCCAGAGGAATGCAAAGGAGGCAGAGGAGTGTCGTAGGGATAATCTTGATTCTGCAATATTTAAAAAACAAAACCACAAACTTTGGATAATTTAACCATTACGGGTTTCACAGGCAGGATAAGAACTGCTGCTGTAGTTTGCCTCTTCAGTTTTCCCGAGGATAAAAATGAAGCATAGAGAGGCCCAGAGAGGGGGAGCCAGCTAGCCAAGGTCACACAGCAAGTTAAAGCAGATGGCAAAAGCTTCGGTTCAGGCCCTAGGCATGGGACGCTCTTGGGACACAGGTGGGACTTATCCGGTCAACATACTGATGTCCTGCCCGCCCCCCAACCCCTGTCCCTGCACTCCTCCTTCCTGCACTCCAGACCCACGTGACCAAATGGCCCGCTGAAGTACCCCAGCTGGTCATCGTTCATGTACCCCGAACCCAACCTGTCCCAGTGAACTCACTTTCTTCCCCTCCCCCACCACAACCTCTCTCCAGTTATTCAGTACCAGGTGCCACCACCCACGGAGCTGTCTGTGTCCAAGGCCAGGCAGGGGTCATCCTCAGCTCTTCTCTCTCCACCCCGCCCCCCACCGAGTCCTAATTCTATCTCTTCGGCACCTCCCTCCGGGATCTGTCTGCTTTTCTCTGCCTCTGCTGTCGTGCCCCAGCCCACCTTCCCAACTGTCCCCCTGTCATGGCCTCCCGTCTGGCCCCCTTGCCTCCAGCCTCACCCTTGCCAATCCCATCTCTACGCCGCAGCCAGGATAATCGTAAAAATGCACGTTCCCTGCTTAAAATCCTTGCTCTTGCCTTCCAGGCCAGAGAGACCGGTCTGTCATCCTGCTCCTTGCTTCACCTAACTCTTCTGTGTGCCTCAAGTCCCTGTCGCTCCCACTGGGAAGCTTTTCCAGACCGTCCTCGCCCCCCCCCCCCCCCCCCCCCCCCCCCCGCGCCCGCACCCACCTTGGTCTTGCCCTGCAGGCTCTTGATGGCCGCCTCGGCGCAGAGGTAGAAAGCCCCGATGCACTGCGCCTCCAAGCGCGACGAGTCCAGCAGCGGCACGAGACGCTGCAGGTCGTCGGGGCCGCGGCCCTGGCTCGTGTCACTGGCGTCCACCAGGCAGCGGGCGAAGTGGCCGGGGTCCAGCGAGGCCACGAGCGGCTCCACGAGCGCCAGCGTGCCGGACCGCTCCACCTCCCGCTCCACCTCCTTGTTGGTTGCCAGCACCGCCACCGCGAGGCAGGCGTGCAGCCGCAGCAGCTCGTCCTCCTTGGAGAAGGCGAGCGGGAAGAGCCACTCGGCGGCGCGCTTCTCCACCATGCGCCGCTGCGCCGCCTGGCCCCCGTGCAGCGCGCAGTTGCCCAGCGCCAGCGCGCAGTGGCGGAGCAGCGCCGGGTCCGTGCGGCGGCACCAGTACAGCACCGCGTCCAGTCCCCCGGCCGCCACCAGCCGCTGGCACGTCTCCTCCGAGTGCTTGAACATGTGCTCCAAGATGCCCGCCACGCTCCGCGCCAGCTCCACCGGCTCGCGCTCTTTTGCCAAGTTCAGGATCACGCCCAACCCGATGCGCGCCACGCGGTCCCTGTCGAGAAAGAGGCGACAGGGACGTAGGGAGTGGCGGCGGCCCCGGGGCGGGGAGGAGAGAGGAGGGGGGGGGAGAGTTGGCTTGTCCCCTGGGGGCCACAGCCAGGTCACTCAACCTCTCTGGCCTCACATTTGGGACACGAGGGAGAGCATTATCTTCCCTGTCTCCCCCTTTCACTTCCCGTCCGGGGGGGACAGATTTCTCGAATTATAAGGGTGCTGCGTTCTGGCCGCACCCATTTCCTCCCTTACCACTGCCTCCTCCCCCTGCAGTGTGTGTAGTGGTTAAGAACCCTAACTCTGGAGAAGAGTCCCTGGGCCCTGCTTTCTTCTAGAAAGCCTTCCTTTATATTTCCACCTCGGTTCCTCATCTCATAAATGAAAGGAATCCCTATGCGGTAGGGTCATTATGAGAATGAATGTGATAATCCATGTAAAGTGCTCCGCACAGTGCCTGGTGCATAGGGAAGACTCACTAAATGTTAACTTGGCATCAGCTGAAGTATCACATGAAGTACAGCACTCTTAGCCTTGCCCTCAAACCTCTTTCTTCACCCCATGCAGTGTGCCGGGTGTGTATTTATTCATTCACTCAACAGATGTTCATTGAGGAACTACTATGTGCTGGGGGCTGACGCTGAACAGTGATTAACAGTGCTTGGAACTTATACACAGCTAATATGGAGACAATAAGCAAGGGAACAATGAGTGAGCAGGTTAACAGTGATGTGGCCAGAATGCTACCAGAGCCGGGTGATGTAATGGATAGTGCGTGGGTGGAGGGATATATCTGAGGAGGTGACATCAGAGAGTTCAGTATCTGGAGACTCCTGCCTGAAAGTGTCTGGGAAATGAGCCTGACAGGCAGAGCGAACAGCGAGGACAAAAGCCCTGAGGGCTGGTAAGTTCAGCATGTTTGAGGAATAGAAAGAAGGCCACAGATATCTGTAATGTTTAAAACCAACGAGGAAAAATATAAAATCAACAGGGATTCACGCATAGAGTATATAAATATTCACATCAACAAGAAAAAGGGCAGCAAATTCAACAGGGAACAGCAAAGGATATAAATGGCAATTTATAAAAGAGAAAATCCAAAATGTTGACAAATAAAATAATTTGTAATCATTAGTAACCAGAGAAGTGAAAATTAAATCAGCTGTCACAGCGTGGCTCAGTCGGTTGAGCATCTGACTCTTGATTTCAGCTTAGGTCATAATCCCAGGGTTGTAGGATTGAGCCCCATGGAGTTCCGCACTGAGCCTGCTTGAGATTCTCTCTCTTTTCCTCTGTCCCTCTCCCTGATGCGCATGCTCACATGCTCCCTCTCCCTAAATCTAAATAAATACGTAAATAAAAATCAGCTATCACTTCACACCTATTGGATAGGCAAACAGCAGAAGCTGGGTAACACAAAAGATTGATGAGGTGTGGGACCATGAACACGCCCAAGCTCTCTGGGAGGCAGTCAATATGGAAAGCAGGCTGGGTTGTGTGAATGAAATTAAGGAGGTACACACCCTACGAGCCAGAAAGTGGGGCTCTCAAGCTTACAGCCAAAGAAATGATCACAGATCCACAAAAGTATGTGGGAAAGGCTGTTCACTGCAGGGTTGTGTGTGGTGGGGGAAGATGGCGGCACACTGGTGTCAAGCCTGGGAGGGTGGAGAGGTAACACAGGCAGGTGGCCACTCTGGAAGGCTACGGAGCAGTTACAAGTGACTGAAGAGATGATAAAATAACAATCTGAAGGATCTTAAAAATATAATATGGGTGAAAGTCAGAAATGGAATGTGCTATGTAACACAGCACTATTTGTGTAAACTAAAAATACATGTGCACAACACAAGAAAATAAAGATTTTACCAGGATACAGATATAAAGATACACATTAAATATATAGAATGGGTGCTTATGGCATTAAGTCAGAAAAATGGTGGGACAGGGGGTGCCTGGCTGGCTCAGTCAGTGGAGCATGAGACTCTTTATCTCGGGGTTGTGAGTTCCAGCCCCATGTTGGGTGTAGAGATTACTTAAAAATAAAATCTTTTAAAAGAAAGAAAAAGAAAGAAAGAAAGAAAGAAAGAAAGAAAGAAAGAAAGAAAGAAAGAAAGAAAGAAAGAAAGAAAGAAAGAAATGGGACGTGAATGAAGAGGAGTAGGGAAGATTGTGGAGACTGTAATCTAGGCACAGATGTATGCAAAGGTTAGGAGGTGTCTGAGAACTAGCGCAGTTTGGGACCTGTCCCCACTGCAGCCACACTGAAGTAAAGCCATTTCTAGTGGCTGAGGTGGAAGGTTCAAGGCGAGGGGGGAGTCGGGAGAGTCGTGGGGGCCTTCTGAGCCATCTTGAGGCATTTCTGAAGTACAAGTCTTGGTAGAAAATGGGGAGCCACTGAAGGCTTTAGGAAGGGGAGTGGCCTGCTCTTGCATAGGTTTTGAGAAACTCACTCTGGCAGCTATAGGGAGGAAGGGGCCCAGGGAGGCAGCCTGGATGCCAGCAGACAGGAGAGTTGCCATACTCCAGGCAGAGGTGAAAGTTTTCTGTTTTCCTGCCACCACAAACGATGTCTTGAACAAGTGACATTACCCTCGAAGACTCCAGCCATGGAGTCCTTACCCCATGAGCATCACAGTGACCACAGTGCTTGTGACTTTGTGTCCCAGCTGAGCTGCTAACATGGCATAAGGCCAACACAACTTTGCTCAGAGGATGATTAGAGGTCATGATCCTTCAGCTCTACTTTGTGCTTCCAGAACAACCTGACTACATAACTCTAAGAATATCAGGACCAGGATATGTTTGAGCAGTCATTTGATCCAACACCTTCATTTCCTGAGAACCACTGAAGGGAAAGTCTTGCTCAGGAACATCAATTCAGAGAGAGGACTTTATTCTGAGTTTCTTAACCCCCAGCCCTCCCCTTTCCCTATGCACTTGACACCTTCACAGAACTTTAATTGTGTGCTTGTTGTGAGAACTGTTGACCTGGCTCCCAGCTTCTGCAGCCCCAGAGGCTGTGGTTCAAATCCCAGCTCCAAAGGAGGGCGGAAATTGTACACATACACAAACTCAAACACACACACAAGCATGTATATATAATAGACACATGTGTGTAAATCCTTGTACATGCATAGAATTTCTCTAGAAGGGCATACTGTGCAAGAAACTTGCTTTGCTTGCTGGTTTGTCTCCAGGGAGGGGGCCTGGGTAGGAAAAAAAAAACTTTTAAGCATGTATCTTTGTGTACCTTTGCAGTTTTTGAATTTATATGCAATAGCTCTCTGGTTTTTGTCGGTTTTTCTCCCCCAGTTGACTTACTTATTTTGTGAGAGAGTGCAAGCTGGGAGGGGCAGAGAGGGAGAGAGAGGATCTCAAGCAGGCTCCCCCCCTGTCAGCATGGAGCTCCACGCGAGGCTCAAACTCACAAACCGGGTCTGGAACTCACAAACCTTGAGATCACGACCTGAGCTGAAATTAAGAGTAGGAGGCTTAACTGATAGTCACCCAGGTGCCTCTGTTTGTTTATTTAAAGACACGTCTTCTCCCTTATTCACTGTGTATTTTTGGGAAAGTCATTTAACCTGAGTTAAACCATTTAACCTAATTATGGTCCCCTGATGGGGCTACACTGTAAATTTCAAAGGCTAGCAGTCACACCCTCACTGGATGTCATGGGACCAAGTTCAAAAAGTCCTACGCTGTTGGGCTTTCCTTGGCATTGGGGGTGAGGGACATGGTGATGGAGGCTCCTGGGCAGTGGGTGTGGCAGCACTATGGGAAGAAGGGAATGGGAAAAGGAGTGTGTGCATTGACTGAGGAACTTTCTCTAAGAGGAGGTTGGTTGATGAAGGAAGAGGAAGGGCAAGATCTCATAGAAAATTCTCAGTGTGTCATCTCTCTGTTCAAATTTTGAGGGCCACGGGGTGCGCTGGATGCTGTCCTTGGTCCTGAAGTGCTGTCCTTACCTTCACGTTGTTTCCTGAGACCAGGACAGATAGGAATTCTGAACCAGGGGAGTGTTGTTATTTTCAAGCTTTAAAAACATCAGTGCAGTTTGCATCCTGCAGCCCTCCTCTTCCTAGGGTGTTGGCTACACCCATTTCCCAAGAGTTCTAATTATAGCTGCCACATCCCACCTACAGAGTACACCGGCCAACCTGTGCCCACCACATCCAGTGAGCACCCACTCTGTTTGCTAGCCCTCCGAACTCACTGAGGTTAGATGGGAAATCAATGATTTGCTGAGCAAGCAAAGCCGTAACTTGCTCTCCCAACTTAAATCGCTTCATTCGTGCGTTTTTGACAATTGTACTATTTCCATCATCCACGAGGTTATTTTTAATTTTTGAAAATGGCAAGGAAAGCACCTCTAACCCATGCCCTCACACTTGTGAGAGCTGCATGAATTGAGTATGTGTACTGCCGAAGCGAGCACGAGAGCTGCATGAATCGAAAGTGACCCCTACAAGACCTTTCTAAACCAGAAGGGCCTGAGAATTCTAGCATGAGAGTGCTGTGTGACAGTTTGGTCTGCTCTGACATCAGATGGGAGAGAAAGTGAGCACAAGAGTCCTCGTATTCCAGGGGAGATCCCAGGAAGGGAACAAGAGAGTGTCAGGCAGGCCTCAGTTGGACCCTGCCTACTGTATCTTGGCAGTATGTGGGGGTGGGGTGGGGGAGAGGACAGAGAACACATACTCTGGTCCCTGCTTAGCTCCGCACCTGTTTCCTCTTCTCTGGCCCATTCCTCCCAGTAGAAAACCTTTGGTTCCCCATTAGCAGCCGCAGAATGAGATCATGTCTGGCCTGTTACATGGGCCAAAATGAAGAGGGAGGAAGCAGGTGGTGGATCGGGGGTGGCATGAAGGGGGCAAGTAACCCTTAGGCCAGCACTCACGTCAGCAATCATTCCCCCCTCCTCCGACCCCATTTCCTGAGCACTGTGTTCTCTTTTTCTCAGTGGCAGAGGGAAGGCAGCACAGAAGGGCACCCGGGCCTACCGGGAGGAGGTCTGAGGGGCTGGGCAGCTCCATGCTGAACCGGGAACAGATTCCTGTCCAGCTACTCTTGTTCTCCCTCTCCCTGTCTCATTCTTCACCTCACCAGTCCTGGGAGCGAATCCCTGCTGCACCCTCAGTTTACGGTGTTGTGGCAAGTCATCAAACTTTCCCAAGTCTCATTTGCCTCATCTGTCAAATGGATACGCTGATCCCCAGCAGGGGTGTTGTACAGGGATTTGGTGAGCGAGTCGCACGAGAGCTCCGAGAGCCCACTGCACCCCGCGCCCTCCCCTCATCCCGCGAGCTCCCTACCGGTTCTCAGCCACCAGGATCTGCTCCAGCAGGCGGGCGGCCTGCACGCGCGTCTCCAGTTCCGGCGCCTGCAGCAGCCGCAGCAGCAAGTCGAGGCCGCCGTCCAGGCGGATGGCGTCGCACAGACCCTGGGCTACCTCTCGGCCCACGGCCGGCAGCAGCCAGGCCTCCTCCACCAGCTGGAAGACCTCGGCCAGGCCTGCGCCCACGGCCCGGGAGCCCCCCGCCTGCTTCAGCACAGACAGAGCCTGCTGCAGCTCCGGCAGCGTGCGCTCCAGGGCGCTCTGCACCTCGGCGCCCGCCCCGGGCGACACCTCGCGGGGCCCGCGGCCGCCCGCGGCCCACCACGGCCCCGCGCCGCCGCCCCCGTCCGGCCCCGGCACCGCTAGTCGCTCAGCGCCTGGCCGTGGGCCCGACATGGTGAAGAAGCGGCACAGCTTATAGGCGGAGAGGAGCAGCGTCAGGACCATGGGAGCAGGGCTGCGGGGGACATCCCCGATCCGGAGGGACGGAGCCGGGCGGAGCGACCCGGAACTTGGGAAGACGGGGACAGGAGAGGGGACCAGGGAGGAGAAGGTGCGGGAGGGAGGGATGGATGGAAGGTACCAAGGCAGGGGCGCTGGCCAGAAGTTTGGGGGAGGGGCGAGGGTGGGATCTGGGAAGGAGCTTTTGGGTAACGGGATGCGGGCCCAATTGTAGAGGGTGGGCGGGAGGAGCCCGAGGGGAGCGAGGGATGGACCCAGACGCCAGCCAGTAGGTCTGGGAGGCAGCAACGAGAACAAAGCACAGCTCCAGCCTGGAGATGCTCTGCAGCAGCCCCGCCTCTGACAAGCCGCAGCCCGGGGAGCTGACACTCCGCCCCTCAGTCACGTGGGACCCGTCCCCTGCCGCGTGCTTAGCCTTGCACTCGGGCCTTCCCCAGACACGCCACGCCCTGCGGAGGGGCGGGGGAGGCGACCAGGGGAAGAGGGTGCAGAGCGACGGGACAGCCTCCCTTCCCCACCACCCCCGCCCCCGAGCCCCCCGGCACTGCAACGTGAAGGCGACACCGCGGAGCCTGCCCCTTGCCCAGACAGTGGTCAAAGCAATCATAATAACGATTCGGTACAACTCCCCAGACCCTTCGTGCCTGTTTCTCATTTAAGCCTTGCAACATGCCTTGGGGGTAGAGATGAGTGTTCCCGTTTAACAGCTGAACGGCGGACTGAGGCTCTTAGAAAAGGCATTGCCCCAAGTCACACACCTCCCTGACTAAGGATCAGACAAATTCAGTTGGAGACTCAGAATTATTTCTTCCAGGTAGTGGGAGGATTTCAGGAAGCCTGTGGCCCCCTGATCGTGGGCACAAAATCAGGCGTTGCGGGCCAGGGGCATTTTCTGGAAAGAGGGATGCTACTTCTCAAGAGAGTCTTCGAGTGCAGAGAACTAGGCTATTCTGTACCGATGGGGAGACTGAAGGTGGAAAAGGGAGCAGTGAATTCGTGGGAGACTGAGGAATCAAATTCAATCCAAATGGTTAATATTCACCCAACTTGCTGTGCTGTGAAGACCAGCTTGGGGGAATCAATGCACCCAAGGGATGAACCTAAACACAAAACTCTGGTTTTTGCACGATTGAAAGAAAATTCTCCCAGGGTGCTTACCAGCATTGCTTCACCACCACCCCGCCTTTCACTGCCCTAAATACACAATGGGTGGGTGGGTGGCTCCCTCGGCCAGGGAGATGCCTGATCAAACAGATCACAGATAAACAACCATTAGTGGAGAGTGAGGTTGGCGCTACTCCAGGCGCGGGGCATTTTGTCCGCTTCAGCTTATGTAACCCCCCACACCCCCTGAGGCAAGCATTCTTAGTCTCACTTTACCAAAAAGGAAAATCAAGGCAGGTAAAACCGCTTGCCTCGGGTCACGCAGCCCGTGAGTGGCACCGTGGGCCTTCTTTCTGTCCTCCAGACCCACGGTGCAGGTCCCCTTCTGACATGATGGCTGAGCTTGGCAAGGATCCTATTCACAGTTCTCCCAGGCCCAGAGTTCCAGGAATGTGACCCTTTGCAGCCACTGGGGTCTGGGGCACTGGGGGCCGGGCCAGAGAATGAGCAAATAGAGCAGCAGAGAAGGCAGCTCCTCTCCTCTGGCTCCCTCCCTCCCTCCCTGTGCTCCCCTCTACAGCAACACAGCGGAGACTGCCCAGAGCCCAGAGTGGAGACTGAGCAGAGCCAAGGTCGCCAGCCAGGCCAGAAGCTGGTGGCCCTACCATGGCATCCCCAAGGCCCCTCCTGATGCTTGCTCTGCTCCCATGGCTTGTTCTGGCCGACCAAGGTGCAAGAGGGTGGTGGTGGCCGTTTGGGTCGACGAAGGGTGGGTGAGGGTGGGCTGGGCCGGGCCGTGCCAACCGACACCCCCTCCCCAGAGTCGTGCAAGGGCCGCTGCACAGAGGGCTTCAACGCTGACAGGAAGTGTCAGTGTGACGAGCTCTGCTCTTACTACCAGAGCTGCTGCGAGGACTACGTGGCTGAATGCAAACCCCAAGGTACGTCCGGAGAGGCTGGGTGGGCCCGGGGTCCCCTCTGCAGCCGGAGACTTACCACCGCCCACCGTGCCCGCAGTGACTCGCGGGGATGTATTCAACCTCCCAGAAGATGAGTACGGGGTCCACGACTACCATGAAGAGATCAGGGACAACAGCAGTGTCCTCCCACAGCCAGGGGGCGCCACCCAGAGCCCCGGCCTGCAGGCCCGGGCTGAAGTGTCTCCCGACCCGGAGGCCTCTGTGGTACCTTTTCTGAAACCCGAGGAAGAGGCCACAGGGCCTGTGCAGGGGGCCTTGGGGCCTGAGACCTCTGAGTCCCCAGCGGAGGAGGAGCTATGCAGTGGGAAGCCCTTCGACGCCTTCACTGACCTCAAGAACGGCTCCCTCTTTGCCTTCCGAGGTGACTCCAGGGGCAGGTGTCGCGGGGTGGGGGCTTGCCCCCCAGGACAACCGCTCCCTCACACAGCCTCCCCCCCCCTCCTCTAGGGCAGTACTGTTATGAGCTGGATGAAAAGGCAGTGAGGCCTGGGTACCCCAAGCTTATCCGAGACGTCTGGGGCATTGAGGGCCCCATTGATGCTGCCTTCACCCGCATCAACTGTCAGGGGAAGACCTATCTCTTCCAGGTGCCAGACCCAGGGGCCGGGGGTCAGAGCCAAGGGTATCTAGGCAGGGGTTGAGGGCTGCTGTGCCCAGGACTCGGGTGGGCAAGACGGCTGGATCACAGCCTGTAAAAGTCCTGGCTGGGGTTCTTGAGGCCGGGGAGGCCCAAGGCTCCAGGTCCTGGGTGACAAGCCTGGAAGTGGGACAGCTGCCTTGGGTGGGGGGCTCAGCCTGTGCCCAGCCAGCCACCTCTTCGCTCCCTCCTCCTTCCCTGCCTCTCAGGGTTATCAGTACTGGCGCTTCGAGGATGGGGTTCTGGACCCGGACTACCCCCGCAACATCTCTGAAGGCTTCAAGGGCATTCCGGACAATGTGGATGCAGCCTTGGCTCTCCCTGCTCATAGCTACAGTGGCCGGGAGCGGGTCTACTTCTTCAAGGGTATTAAGGGAGTGGGTGGGCGCAAGAGCAGGCGGTGGGGCAGTCTGGGCTTTCCTCCACACTCCCGTACGGGGACACTTCAAATCACGCTCACCACCCCTACTCCCCTGCCAGGAGCTCCTTTCCCACAAAGGCCAGCGGCCTTGGCCTTGGCGCTGGCTTTCCAGCCTTGCTCACGAGCCTGCCCCCATCCCACTTCCCTGCACAGGGAGACAGTACTGGGAGTATGAATTCCAGCAGCAGCCCAGCCAGGAGGAGTGTGAAGGCAGCTCCCTGTCTGCAGTGTTTGAACACTTCGCCCTGCTGCAGCGGGACAGCTGGGAGAGTTTCTTTGAACTTCTCTTCTGGACCGGGTCCTCTGGTATGGGGGGCGGGTGGGCGAGCCTCGCCCTCTCCCCAAGAGGGCTGGGATCTCCAGGGTAGGGGCGGGGCAGCGCTGGCCAGAAGGGGCTGCGATTGCGGAGCTAGGGCTCAAAAGCTGTTTGCTCAGGCCAGACTTTGCTTCTGTTGACCTTTGGGGGGAGGCCCACTGGGACCCCACACCTTGGACTTTGCCTGGCGCAGCTGAGGGCGCAGCCACCGGGAGGAGGGGCTGTGACTGAGGCACGTGGGGAGGGACACGGTGGAGGAAGGCTAGGGGAAAGAGCACTGAACAGGGAGTCCGAGGGCTGGGGGCTGCGTTCTGCCATGAGCACGCTGTGTCCTTGGGCGAGGTGGCCCCAGACGGCCTCTACAAGGCCCCCAACGCTCTCATTAACCTCTTCCCTGCCGCAGGTGGTGCTAGTGAGCCCCGCCTCATCAGCCGAGACTGGCCAGGTGTGCCCAGGCAAGTGGATGCGGCCATGGCCGGCCGCATCTACATCTCAGGCTCGGCTCCCCAGTCCTGGGCCAGGAAGCAGAAGTCTAAGCGGCGTAACCGTAAACGCTACCGCTCACGCCGTAACCGTAGCCGTGGCCGCGGCCGCAGCCAGAGCCCCCACCGGCAGTCCCGCTCAGCCTGGCTGTCCTTGTTCTCCAGCGAGGAGGACAGCCTGGCCACCTTCAACTACGACTATGACATAGACTGGCTCGTGCCTTCCACCTGCGAGCCCATCCAAAGCGTCTACTTCTTCTCAGGAGGTGAGCCCGTGCCATCCCTGGAGCTGGTCTAGCTGGGGTCTTCCCTGCTCTCCCTGGTCTGCGTGGGCTGAACAGGGCCCTTGGGAGGTGACTCCAGAAAGCCAGGCTGGGAGTCCTTAGCTGCACTGTGGATGTTCACTTAGCCTTCCAGGAGAGACCCAGGTCTTCCTTCTCAGGGCAGGAGGGGGCAGGGCCACACGCTGGGTCTCACACACCCTCTGCTGGCCTCTCTTCCAGACAAGTACTACCGAGTCAACCTTCGCACACGGCAGGTGGACGTTGTGAGCCCTCCTTACCCGCGCTCCATCGCCCAGTACTGGCTGGGCTGCCCAGACCCTGGCCGCGAGTAGGAGTCGGAGCCAGCACGGCTGGGCCCCCCGCGGCTCCCCCCTCAACCTCTTCCTCCCAGCCCAATAAAGTCCCCTTGGTCCTGAGTTTCAGACTACTGTCCTGACTGGGGTGGACGGGCAGAGACTGGGATCTTCCCCGGGGAAGGGAGGGGAAGCTAGGCTGTCACGACGTCTTGGAGGAGGAGAGTGTCAGTGTCATTGTGTCCTATCCGTGTTGGGCTCAGCTTTTCTCCATGAACCGGAAAAGCCCCGGGCAGGAGAAGGCCTCGTGAGCGCTGGACTTCCTCCTGAGCTAAGGGGGCCCTGCTAGCCCACCAACGTCGGCAGGAGCTTGAACAGCTCCGGTGATGACAGGAGCCACCAAGTGCCCCTCCCGGCCCAGGGCTTCCTTGCCCTCCTGAAGTTGACTAGGGTCCTGGAGGAGAGAGACGGGGCAGGGGGCGTGGAGTTCTGGTTCAGCTTTTCTGCCCGTTCTGAGCCTGCAAGGGGGTCAGCCCAGGGGACTGGTCGGTGTGCCCCCCACACCCTCCCCTAGGACAAGGCTTTCTTTGAGGCCTCTGTCTTGGGTCTGGGGCCTGGGGCACTGTAGTTAGGAGAGGAAAGGGCAAGAACTCAAAGGAAGTCCAGAGGCACCCACGTGTCTTAGAAGAAGGACTCAGAAGACTTACAAGGATGAATACTCCTTAAAAATCAACCAACCAAACGAAAGAACAAAACAAACAAAAACCCCCGAAGTGTATTTCTTTTTTTTCTTTTTTAATTTTTTTAATGTTTATTCATTTTTGAGAGACAGAGTACAAGCAGAGGTAGAGCAGAGAGAGAGGGAGACACAGAATCGGAAGCAGGCTCCAGGCTATCAGCACAGAGCCTGATGTGGGGCTCGAACTCACAAACTGTGAGATCATGACCTGAGCCAAGGTCGGCCGCTCAACTGACTGAGCCACCCAGGTGCCCCCCGAAGTGTCTTTCTTAAAACTCCTCGGCTGTACCTGTGAAGCCGCCTTTGGTTCTAGGTTCCTGGACTCCAGGAAGCCCATCTGGGGTCTCCAGGGGCCATGGAGACCGGGCTCGATGCAGGCAAATCTGTGAAACAGACCCGAGGGCGAGCAGGGGGTGACGCTGCGGTCTCCCCGTCGGCCTCCTCGTCCTGCCTGCCTTCGGCAGCCCAGCCCTCAGCTAAGGCCTAGGACTGCGTCTGCCGTCCCCCGACGGCGGCCCGGGGCCCCTGAGGGCTCCCAGGGGGCAGGTGAAGCGCCGGGAGCGCTGGAGAGGATTCCTTTGGCTTCCTTCTGGGAAGATCCTGGGAGGATTTTCACAAAGTACAGGCTTTCAGACACAGACTGTGGAGTTTGGGGTGTGAGGAGAGGGACTCGGACCAGCTTCCTTTGTGAACCCCTGGAGGAGCGGGGGCCAGAGCGGTTTTGCCCCATCCATACCTGCACGAGCCCCAGCCCTGCCCCTGGCCTCCGCTCTTTCCTGTGGGACAGTCTCTGCTCCCCTCGGGCTGGAGATGAAACCTCTCCCCCTCCTGGAGGCGGGGCCAGCCCTCTGAGCAGGATAAAACCCCACAAGGAGGGGTGTGGCGTGGGCACAGTCTCGGCATGGCCCCCGGGCTCCTCATTCTCCTTCGGCTCCATGGCTAGCCCCGTGGGTGCACCCTCAACAGGTGATCTGGTGGGGAAAGGGTGGGCAGGGGGAAGATGTGCTGCGGGAAGGGCTGAAGCAGGGGAGCGGAGTAGGGGCTTCAGGGTCCGCTGGGGGGTTTGAGGCTGGGATGGAGGCCTCTGCGGGGAGTCCCAGCTTGACCCCTACTCCGGCCCACAGGTCATGCCAGTGGGCTGGGTCCCCACCGGAGAAAGCGGACCACTTTCAGCAGAGGGCAGCTGCTGGAGCTGGAGCGTGTGTTTGCAGCCCGGCCCTACCCTGACATTGGTACCCGTGAGCACCTGGCCCGGGTCACCTGCCTTCCTGAGGCCAAGATACAGGTGAGCAGGGACGCCCTCTCGGGGCGAGGGTGTTCTCACACAGCCCCTTTCCTCTGGGTATCCCGCCTCCGGGTTTTGCTTTCCCTGTAGCTGGGGGAGAGGGGCTGGAGCCAGAAGAGATTCCTTTTTCCCTTACCAGGTATGGTTCCAGAACCGCCGGGCCAAGAGAATCAAGAATACAAAGGCAGGAGGCCCAAGCCCCAGGCCAGAGCCCCCCCCGAGAGCCCGTTCTCTTCCAGACACCCTCCAGCAGTCCCAGGAGCCCCAAAAGCCAGGCCAGCTTCCACCCTCCAACAGCACACCTCGCTGTGGCTCACTGTGTGGACGTGCCTCGGGCCCAGCGCCTGGCTTGGGTCCAGGGCCGGCCTGGGCAGGGACTAAAGCCGTAGCCCCATGGGGACCAGCTGGGGCTTCGGGGGTCCACGTTTCTGCAGAGCGAGCTACTCCCCAGACTTCGCTGGGCAGCCTGTCTGACCTCATCTATGCCTCGGCCATCGTCACCAACCAGGACCACTCCTAATCTAAGTCCCGACCTTGTGAGACCCCTCCTCTGGCCCCGCAGCCCACCCCTGCCCGTCAGGACCCAACACATGAGAAGTGGGTCCCCTGCCCTTCCTTGGACACAGGGGAGTTCTGTTATTGGAAGGAAGGTTAGCTCAGAGATCCCTCCCCTCCATCGCCCTCCAGGCCAGCCTAGGGTCGCCAGCTACCCGGCGCCCTGCCCCTCCTGGGGCATATGCCCATCGCCGTGGCAGGAGGTACCTTCAGAGAGATGAGGTAAGGGCCGTGTTTTCCACCTCCCACGCCAGGCCTGGCCCCCAAGTCTTCTCATCCCAGCTGACAACTCCTCTCTCTCTCTGTAAAGAATGAGCAGCCGCCCCTCGGTTTCAGCCCCTCGGTTTCGGCCCGTTAGCTGCTGAGTGAGTACGGTGGCAAGAGTGCTGACACTCACCCCAGGCGGCTGGGAACCCGCCCTCTCATGGTCCAGGCCCCTCTCCTGACCTACCACCACCTAGACAAATGAGTCAGATCGATGGATCTGAAGAGGAAGTGGTATTAGAGTCGTACAGGGGAAAGAAGGGCTTCGGGCTTATGTTGATTTAATTTTCACAAAGATCAGATTGGCTGCCCTCTGACCTGAGGCTGTGGAGACAACCTGACAGATTTAGCATGGGGCGGGGAGGTGAGGGGGGTGCGCGCCGGCCACACTGGGTTTTCGTATCGCCATCATCTGTAATACCAACTAATCTCCAAATAAAACCCAAACTCTATACCTTAATCTGGATTGTTATGTGCTGCAAATGAATGGGGGCGAGGGCCATTGGCTTTTGAAAAGTATCTCCATCACGTAATCCCCAAATAGGGTCAGGTTCCACACAGATACTGGGTGGGCGGTATTACGCAGGCTTCTACTGGGATTAGTTAGGGGGACAGTTAACCAAAGGGCTTAGGGCTCTGGCCGACCGAGACTGGGGAGATGGGAGCCTGCTGGCACCTTCTGTCCTAGCTCCCGCTGATTCCAGGACACTCTGGCTGCCTCCACTTCTGGAGCTCTCTGCTCCGGAAAAGCACAGAGTTAGACTGCGGGTCTAAACTGAATTCAGATCCTGGCTCTGCCATGTGACCTCACAGCTCCCTGTAAGTCCACTAGCCTGCACAACAGGGGTGGTATGTCTTCTCTCCATTTTGGGCATGAGAAGCAATGATGCTAAGCGAAGGGCTTCGTGTGGTTGTGACCTGTTACGAAAGCTCTCAATTCATGCATGTTGCCTCTCTCTCTCCGGACACAGCAGGCTATGGGAACTGGGGAAGGCCCCAAATGTCTTGTTCCTCTGGCTCCCTGCCAAGCACTCCCTTTCTTCCCTGGGCCCAGACTGCCCTGGAGAAAAGTATGGGACAGGCAGCAGGAGGCAGCGGCTGAGGGCAGAGTTCCCTTCACCGCAATGAGAACCAGGGTACGGGCCACCCAATTGCTGTCTCCGACTCTGCCCTTGCAGAGGAAAACCCGCTTTGCAAGGTGAAGGTCACCTTGGCAGGAGCTAGGTCTTCCACCTCTTGATCTCCAGAAGCTAGCACAGTACTTGGCTCATAGAGAAGTTCCCAGTAAGTGTTCGAGGCCACAGAAGCCTGCTGGCTTGTGAGTCGGGGGTTGGGATCAGGTAAGGACCCCATTCTAGTGAAAGGGGTGTGTGTGAGGAATGGCTCTGATCTCAGTATGAGAAGACACCCTACGTCAGAAGCTGTCTGAGGGGTCCTGCTCTTGATCTAACATTTGAAAGTCTTCCAACCTTCCAATCCAGGGATCTGGGGAGTGTGAAAGCCTAAGGCTATGTGCGCACACAGGCTACCTGGCCCTCAGAGTTCAGCGCCAGTCTAGCCACGAGTCCCCACAAAAATTCAGCGTATCTTCTAAACTACACTGGCTTGCTAGAAACATCATAAAATGATACCCGTGCTTTTCCTCACGGTTGACACTTCTTTTCACCAACAATAAAAATTCTAAGATTTTGCAACACAGGGATCTGCGGTGGAACGGAAGACCCTAAACCCTCCCTGTCTCTCACGTTATTGTCTGGAGAAGCTCAGACTGGCTATGTATCCCGCAGAAACTGGCAAATACTGTAGAGCAAAGGTCTATGGAGCCAGGGTTCTGTCTAAGAACAGAAGAGTACCCTGGGGGAAAACAAAAGACCACAGGAGCCCCCAGCGGGAACAAATGGAAAGGAGTACACCATTAGGAGCAGACCCTGAACAATGATCAGAACTATGGAACCTGTGGGCTTCTGTGTTGTCACAAGACTCGAAATACAGCACGTACGATAAATATTTATTGGATAACTATTGCTAACAGTTTCTAAGTACACGTATACAGACTTTATCACTCTACCACTAATCGAAATTCTTGGAAGTTTAACGTTACACAGGGACTTCAGAACAGCCTAGAAGCCTTTGGCTCCCTTTACAGAAGAAAGACCACAGCTGGTCAACTGATCTCCCTCAGCCTCAGTTTTGTCTTCGGGAAAAGGGGCCTAAAATTGTTTCCTCTTCCAACCTCCAGGATGGTTGTAAAGGCAAAAAGCAACTGTGGAAAGCAATGACTCAACTGTGCACATTTAAACTATTTTTTGCACCCCCCCCCAATATTTTAAGAACGTACATAAAAAATCCTCCAATAGGTTTACATATAACAATATGTACACACACTCACGTGTCTGTAATCACGTGTAACGTCCCTTCGTAATCACACATATAGTTAAACCTGACAAGACTCCGTATCTACAAAGAACACCTCCCTTTAATAGCACAGAGAATCCACAGGAGGCATACTCTTCCCGTCAACACACACAAACACAAGAGATTTTCAACTAAAAGCACACATACTGTTTTGCCTTCTGAACTGGTTTCATTTTTGGAGGCAGAGCAAAGGGTGATGGGAAGGTGGGAAGTTCAAGGAAGGCTGACGAGTGGCAGAGACGGGCAGGAACACACAGAAAATGTGTAAAAGGCCGGCAGAAGGGAGAGGACGAAGACAGAAATGAAGATCCCAGAAAGGTAGCTGCCTAGCTCCCAATTTCACCAGCCCGTGCCAACCGGTCTTTCTCTTATTCGGTGTGCTGTGATCAGTTCCTCTTCTGGCACAAACTGGAGAAAGGGAATCCTTTGGTTTTTTTTTTTAAGAGCCTACTGGTCTCAATTACAGGCCTGCATCGAGGATGTATGGGCAGAGGGTGACCATCAATTTGTGCAGTTGGGCAATTTCAAGGCAGTACTGTCTGCTTCTTGGAGGCCCTGGGTTCTATGTACTCCTGATGGAAAACTCCGGCCTCGGCAGTGCCCAGGTGGACTGGAGAAGGCAGTCCTGGGGTCAGGAGAAGGTACTGAAAGACCAGTTCTTTTCAGTTGTTGTCTGAGTCTCTTTTAGAGCCCCTCTGGAAACTCACAGAGGTTGGGGTTCCCCCCGCCCGGACCGTCTGTAGGAACAGCAGGTGGCCGTGGCTCGGCCCTCTGTGTAACCAGAGCTGACGACAAAGCGCCTGGTAGGTTGACTGAGAGTCAGTGACTGGCAACTGGGAGCCTGGCGTCTCCCCAGATCCGCTCCAGACCTCTGAGGAACCGTCAGAGCTCTCCCAATTCGCCTTCCATCGCCCGCACCATGACATACAGCTCGGCCAGGCCCACCACAGAGGCCACGATCAGTGCAGCCAGTACCCGCTGCGGAGAGAGAGAACCGGGCTTAGGGCATACAGGTCAGCACCCAACTCTGCAGCCTCCAGCACCTCTAATAAGGATAATAAGGATGGCGGGGAAGGGAAGAAAAGAGGATCTGGCTTCTCTTGAGGTTATCATGTACCCCCATGACTGCTGGACAGCTCAAACGCTCCTCTTGTTTACTGCATAAAAACTTGTTTAACACCTAACTTGTTCAAGGCACCTTCCCATACCTTCCTCCCTCTTCCACCAACACCCCCACCTGGGGCACCCCGCCCGGCCCAGTGTCTACTTACGGAGGCCATTTCTGCGAAGATATACTGGCTTCCAAGGTAAGTGCAGACGAAGGCAGCTACTACCGTGACGATAAAGTTGAAGATGGTAATGACCAGAGCTTTCACTGACCTCACTTTGGGGAAGAACCCAGGGAAGAAACCTTTAGGTCGGTATCTTCCATAAGACTCTCTTATCTCAGGGCTGCCTCCCCCGCTAACTGGGCTTTAGCAATACTGATTCCCTAGCACCTCACCTTGCTTTCCGAAATCACTAAGAGTCCCACTGTGCCTTGAATCCTGGGAAAAAGAAAACACAAATGATTTCAGAATGGAAGCAGCCCAGAGAGTTTCCAGTTGTCAGGCTGGGCTCTACTCTCTTTATTCCCCAACACATCAACTCGGCCTTCTCCGTTGATGCTGTTGTCCGGGAGAACAGACAACAGAGGGACAAATGTATTCGTTTCTGAACCACAGATCAAGCATTTTGGAGAAAGGGCACGGGCTCCCAGGACCCACCCAGTCCTCTCCTGCGCCAGGGTAGGAGCATGCCACAGAACAACAGGGAGCCCAGTCAGAAGAAAGGTGCCAAGGTTTATCTCCATCTCTGCAACTTTTAAACCTCAGTCACCATCTGATCTGAGCCCAGAGTCTCAGTGAGTTGAGTTGGGAATCAGATTAGATTTGTAGGCAGCACAGAGCTTCCTTGGCCCCTGAACAGTGTAAAAACCAAGCTCCCACGTCATTTCTTCCCTCTGTACCTCTTCCCAGAGCATGATGCCGCCTTCAGGGGCTACTCAGTCCAGGTATCGGAGAGCAGGCTCTTACCTGACAGGTGATATTGTGGGTGATCCGCTTATATTCCTCATTGGCCAGCTGTATCTTAATCTTCTCCAAACGGGCAACCAACTCTGGGTTCTGGGGCCGAAACAAATCAAATGAGAAGGGTATTCGCAGCTTGCCAGAAAGCAATGTCACAACCCCTGGTCTCAGGGGGCAAAACACTGCTAAGGGGGCTAAGAGACCCATGCACCAGTCCTGCCTCCACTGCTTTGGAAGTCTTTTTGGGGGGTTGTGGGGTGGGAATCTGTTTCCCAAGCTGTCAAAACAGGCAGGACAATATCCAGTTCCCCCACCCCAGCTCTCAAGGATTTAAAAGACAAATGTTCGAGCCCAAAGGCTGATTCATGAATCCGAGCGTATCGTGAATAAGTCCAATGCGGCCAATACCCATTCTCACAAATATATCCCTTACATACCCGGGGAGGCTTCACAACCTCTGGGAGATAGATTTCACTGCCTTCTAGGAGCTCATGAAGGTATAGTGTGGAACCTGGGAAGAAAAGATTTCCACAGGCATAATGATACATAGAACTGAGGTCAAAGGATTAGATCAGAGAAGGGTCTAGCCTTTCTATAACTTCTACCAAAATAAAACATGGCCATTCCTATTTCATTTCATCTCCAAGATCATCTTCAATTGAGAACAACTGAAGGACAATTCCACATAAATATCTCCTAGCGTGCATACTGACTTTTAAGCGTCAGGGCTCATTTATCTTGCCAAAGTCACAGCTAACACGTAAACCACTTACACTTGCCTTTAGATTAGGTCATGCTGTGGCCACAACAGAACTGCCCTATATAATTTTCAGCCACAATAATGCCAAATACTCAGAGGACAGCGTACTAGGTGATCTCTAAGGTACTTTTCAGTTCTAACAGTCAAGCGGTCTACCCTTTGTACGGCTGGGTAAGTCATGTTATTTCTGGCAAAAGACCTTACAAGCCAGTTTGTCTTAGTCCGTCCCTTTACAGTTAAGGGAACTGAGACCCAATGAAGGGGGAAGTGACTTCTCTAAGGGGAGTCTGTGGCAGAGCTAGGATTAGGACTCAGATGCGACTCCAGTTCAGGTCTTTGAAGAGAGTTTTCCATAACCCTATGCAAAAGAAGGGGAAAAAAAAGAAAAGAAAAGACAAAAAAGGTGGGGGAGAGAAAGTATCAGATTTGACTTGTTTTTGAGAGGGAAAGAAATCCAGATCCCCAAACAGGACACGCTCACTACCCTAAGTACAACTGGTCTTCCTCAAAGGTCAGGCGGCCCTAAGTAGGCCTGGTGGTTCACGAGGAGACTTTCAGGAGAAAAAAAGTGCACAAATAAATTTGGTCAGCCACGAGAAACCCTCCTGGGAGTTGCTAAGGGAGTGGGTTGCCCTAGTGTTTTCGAGGGGGCTCTTGGGTTGGCTAGATGACCGTTCGCGGCCGAAGGAGACTGATGGGATTTTTTTTCCCTCCTCATAACGATGCCAGGGGTGGGATAAAGCTCAGGAGGGACAAGACTCTGGAAACGAAGGAGGCGACCGGTCTGGAGACTGGGGCTCACCCCTCTCTCTCAGGTACTGATGCAGATCGCGGATCAGGCGGAAAGAAACGAGGCGCGCGGAGCCACTGGGAACATCCCCGCTCTTGTGCTTCTTCCCCAGCGCGGTCTCCAGTTCTGCCCGCAGCTTCCGGGGCAGCTGCTCTGGCTCCAGCTCGCCGCCGGGCTCCAAAGCGCGCACCAGCCGCTCGCCTGCCAGCAAGCGAGACGCCATGACCAGCGGCTTGCGGTCAGGTGACCCGGGGCCGGGACTTCCGCCCATGGCGCACCGGAAGGAGCACGGGGTTCGCGGAGCGGGACGGGGCGGGTCAGAGGGCCAAGGGGGCGGGGACGCGGCGCGGGGCAGTGTGGGGCGGGGGCAGAACGCCTCCGGGCCGCGGGTTGGGCCCAGAGTCAGCAGCCGAGCGGGCGCTCGGGCGGGACATGGCGGGCTGCGTCGCCCGGCGGGCCCTCGCCGTGGGCAGCCGCTGGTGGTCGCGCTCGCTGACCGGGGCCCGGGGAGCGAGGCCGCTTTGTGCGGCGGATGGAGCTGGGGCCTTCCCACCTGCGGCGACCACGACGACGCGGAGGCACCTCTCGTCCCGGTGAGGGACGGAGTGCGGGGGCCGTACGTGGAGCTCAGGGAGCGTCTTCTCGGCCAGCGAGGAGGCAGGCGGCCGGGCCGGCCGAGGGTGATTGGAGCTCGACTCGGGAGAGGGTCCCGGCCGGGAGCCGACGTGCCCTGGCTGGGACGTGTGCCAGGAACAGAGAAGGGAGCGCGGCCCAGAGCCCCGGGGTTGCGCAGGGCTGGCTCCGAAGGGGAGCTGGTAACCCTCCCGGAGCGAATCCTTCCTCCCCCAAGTGGGGATCTCGAGCGCTGCTGTTAAAGGGCAGCCCTTTAATTAAGCCGTAGGACGTGTGGCTTGAACCCCCAGCCCGGGATCGAGACCAGGCCTCCCACAGAAAGATGCTCGAAGTGGGAAGCAAGACTTTTGAGTGTGGGCCCTGCGTGGGATCCAGGTTTCAGCGTGACCTTGGGGAGACTGATTCTTTCTGTGTGACTTGGCGAGGGGGCTCGGAGGCCATGTGGGTGGTGTGAACACGGTCTCTGGCGATGGGACAGGCAGATCACATTGGGGCTGGAGGATCAAGTGAGAGGAAGCATAAGGTTCACCCCTCCAGAATACTGAGAATAGTAGACCTTCGGAAGACTCCTAGAAAGAGCAGCCCTGCCCAGAGAGGTCAGAGAGAACTGACGTTTTAGTGGCTGAGATTAGACTCGGGGATTGGCGAGAGATGATCACTATTTGCAGTTTTAAGACCCCTGTGAAATTTGCACTCCTGGGAAACCTGGACAAAAACTAGATCGAGAGACTGTTCTGTGCAGTGCTGGGAGTTCAGCTGGACATCCGGAGATGATGCCCTCCAAGGGGAGGGTGAAGGCTGCACTTTAGCGGGGGCGGGTAGACAGAGATGGAATTTTAACAGAACAAATGTTTTTTGAGCACCTCCTGTACACTAGGCTCCGAGGGGAAACAGGCTAATCAGACCTCGGCATTGGTCCCGGGGAACGTGCAGTCTTTGGTGAAGATAAGACATGGGCACAGATAACGAAAATGCAAGGTGGGAAGGGCGGTTAAATGCTGTGGGAGGTCAGGAGGGTGGGTCAGGGAAGAAGCAGGCATGGGGTGCACATGGTGGTGCCAGGGCGTGATGCGAGGAAGGCAGAGAGAGCAGAAGGGGTCCGGGTGCAGTCCGATCTAACAGAGACACTGAGGCAGGATCTCACAGGGTGAAAGTCGGAATTTGGAGCTGTGGTTTGGCAGGACCCTTACCTGCTTCACCTGCCCCACTGCCTGGCCCCTCTGTAGCTTTATCTGGTGCTGGCGGTACCATTACCTTCTCGGCTGTGTCAGCTGCTTGTTCTTTTCCTTTCTCATCAGAAACCGCCCAGAGGGCAAAGTTTTGGAGACGGTTGGTGTGTTTGAGGTGCCCAAGCAGAATGGTAAATATGAGACTGGGCAGGTGAGTGCTGGGCTGGGTTCCTCTTGCATTTTCGGGGCGCGCCCGGCCTCTGAGAGGGTCCGCTTCGGCCCTTATGTTACGGTTTTTGGCCTTGGTGCTTCAATGCCAGATCAGAATCACAGATTCAAGATGGAGTGTCTGTCTTCCTGGTTTTGAATCCATCCATTTCACGTGTTGCTGGGTTCCCTTTCCAGGTTAGTGTGGACATAGATGATTTGGACCATAGTGAGGAGAGAGCCACGCTGTTGAAGAGTCCTGTAATATAGTGGGTGGTGGGAAGCCAGTGGAGGGAGCTTTTAGAAAAGGAAACTTCTGATGCTTCATCACAGCTGAACGGATCGCAGTGTCCTATATGCCGTGGGTGTGAGGCTCTTGTTTTTCTATCAGCTTTGTGCCAGATCCACTGAGACAGATTGAAGCCCCTTGTCAGTAAGGACTTTTTTTTTTTTTTTTTTACTTCAACTCCTCGTCCCCCCACCCCTTTTTTTTGGTATGCCTGCACTGGACCAGACGTGCATTGGAGTTGAATCAGGAAGCAATGCCTTTGTGGAGGTGGTAGCCTAGAGATGAATTATGATGGGGTCGGTGGCCAAGCCCTGTGCTAAGTGGAGGGGGGCTCGGGCAAGGCTTCCTAGAGGTTTAAACTACAGCCTGGAGGATCAGCAGAAGTTGGCCTGGTGAAGGGGGCGGGGAGGGGGTAAGAGTGTTCCAAAGCTGGGAGGGGTGGATCGCAGAGTTCAAGAGAAAGACTAGCAAGATGTCATCTGGCGCTGTGGCTATACCTGTGCCCCTTAGCTGTCTGAGTGCACCTGTGAGGGCTTGGGAAGTGCCCACTCACTGAGGCCTCTCTTTCCTTCTAGCTCTTTCTTCATAGTGTTTTTGGCTACCGAGGTGTTGTCCTGTTTCCCTGGCAGGCCCGACTCTATGACCGGGATGTGGCCTCTACGGCCCCCGAGAAGTAAGTACCCTTACTTACAGGAGGAGGCCTGACTCAGGGCCAGCCTACGTAATGGGGGTCCCAGGGGCGAATCCAGCATCCTGCCAGGCTATCAGAACAGTCCCAGAGTGCTTCCCGGACACCGTGGAGACCAAAGTGCTGAGTGCCAGGGACACGCTCATTGGGCCAGAGGGTCCCTTTAGGCCCTCCTAGGATGCTTTCCCAAGCTGTCCTCTGTTTGCATTATAAGCAGCCCAGAAGGCATTTGCGGGACTAATTTTCTTGAATTCTTGACATTCGGTTAGAATCTCTCTGTCTCTTCTCGCCATATGGAGTATGGAGTACGTTGACACAGAAGAGACGCAGCTCCGTTAAGTGATCAGAGACAACCCCAGGGGTGTGAGAAGAGCGGGGCACCTGGGGCTCCAGGATTGGAGGCAGGCAGCAATTTGAATTTCTCAACATGGCCCCTTTCTAGGGAGCAGCCAGAGAGTACGACACAGAGGTTCCTTCACATTCCATCGTTGCCCCGCAGCCAGGCGGGGGGCTGCTGAGCCCGTACCCGGCTCATGCAGGAGCCCCTTCAGATCATGCACTAGTGTGTTCTGGTGAGGAGGTAGGGAGCGGGGGCAGGCTTCTCTTTTTCGCGGGGTGATCTTCGGCTCCTTCCCCTACCCTGTAGAGCAGAGAATCCTGCTGGCCACGGCTCTAAGGAGGTGAAAGGCAAAACTCACACTTACTATCAGGTGCTGATCGATGCCCGAGACTGTCCGCATATAGTAAGTAGGCGCGGTGGCTGGGCTGAGGGTTTCTCTCTGTGGGAAAGGCCCGAGCCTGATGGGGACCGAGGGAGGGAGGAGGGAGGGTCAAAAAGAGCCCCTATCAGCAATGGGCCCCAACTTCTCAGGACTGGAGAGCGACTGAGAAACTCTCTGACTCGCTTCTTGCCTAGTCTCAGAGATCTCAGACAGAAGCTGTGACTTTCTTGGCTAACCATGACGACAGCCGGGCCCTCTACGCCATCCCAGGTGAGTTGTGAGCTGCGTGTGCCTGTCCTTGAGACGTCCGGGGTATCTCGGCGAGAAGATGTTGATGCCTTTCTGACGTCCTTGAATCGGCTAGGAGGGGTTATAGAGGCTGAGAGTGGGGGTGCCGGGCTCATCCCAGCCTTGTTCCTCCCCTTTCCCCTGTGAGTGTCACTGTCTCTCTTCCCTCTCTGTGCCAGGCCTGGACTATGTCAGCCATGAAGACATCCTCCCCTACACCTCCACCGATCAGGTTCCCATCCAGCACGAGCTGTTTGAAAGATTCCTTCTGTATGACCAGACAAAAGGTGATCTCCCACAGGGAAGGAAGCTGGGACGGGAGGGCCCTTTCTTCAGAGACAGTGTCCTAGAAGTAACCTCAAAGCCGTACACCCGCAACCTTATTCAGCCTCCCATCAGCGCCCCAAGACAGGCGGATGGCTGTGGCCTCTACCTAACAGATACGGAAACCGAGGCTCAGGGATGGTAAGAAGGGACTCCAGGTTGCTTAGTTAGCGGCAAGGTCAAGGTTACAGCAGGGTCTGAAAACTCGGGCTCCTCGTTCCCAGCCCACGTCTCTTCCCACCACCACGTCACCACAGACCTCCTCTGGGCTTACTCCTGGCGGCGGCTCTGGGCCTTTTTCCAGCCTGTGCTTTTGCTTCGCGTTTGGGTGCCTTGTTTGCCCAGGACCGGCGTTGGGAAGAGTTTTCTAGGAGAGGCAGTTGGAGAGTGAGTGCGGCACCTGGGACACCGGCCTGGACTGACCAGTTCTCTCTTGCCCCAGCACCCCCTTTCGTGGCCCGGGAGACGCTGCGGGCCTGGCAAGAGAAGAACCACCCCTGGCTGGAGCTCTCTGACGTCCACCGGGAGACAACCGAGAACATTCGTGTCACCGTCATCCCCTTCTACATGGGCATGAGGGTATGTGGCCGGCCTGGGCCCAGATTCCCCCAGAACGCGGGTTCTGCTTCCTAGTGCTGCACGCGCTGGGTCGACACCAAGAGCCGAAGCAGGGAGACGCTCAGGTTCTGGGAAGGAGGCCTCCAGGCTGACTTTGCTCTTCTGGTTCAGAGGGGGTCCTGTGTACACGTGTAGGAAGAATACACACATGCAAGTTTAAACCAGCAGAGGCTGATCTTCACCCATTGTATGTATTAGGTGCTTAGTGGCTTACTTCTTGCTTGGGGGTGAGCCTCAAATAAAAATGAAACATGGCCGCTGCCTTCCAGGAGGAGCTCACGGTGGTAGGAGAGGCCAGCATGGAGCATCCCGAGTATCGTAACGGTGTCAGGCTCTGGAAGGGCAGGGGAGGGTGGTGGCCGGGGCTAGCAGGGGCCGGGGCCAGCAGGGGCCGGGGCCAGCAGCGGGCCGGGGGCAGCAGGGGCCGGGGCCAGCAGGGGCCGGGGGCAGCAGCGGCCGGGGCCAGCAGCGGGCCGGGGGCAGCAGGGGCCGGGGCCAGCAGTGGGCCGGGGCCAGCAGGGGCCGGGGGCAGCAGCGGCCGAGGCCAGCAGCGGGCCGGGGGCAGCAGCGGCCGGGGGCAGCAGGGGCCGGGGCCAGCAGTGGGCCGGGGCCAGCAGTGGCCGGGGGCAGCAGCGGGCCGGGGGCAGCAAGGGCCGGGGGCAGCAGCGGGCCGGAAGACACAGGAGAAAGGGGAGGGCCCTGTGGCTGCTTTCCGTTGGCATTAGGCTCCACTGCTGAACCTGATGGGGGAGGGGCAGGGAGGCCAGGGATGGGTCCAGGGGAGGCGGCCTTCTTTTGGGCTTGTTGGCCGTAATTCAGTCATCACCCTGCAGACACTCGCGGTGTTGTCCTGCCTCCGTACCCTTCCTGGAACCGTCTCCTCATTTGCAGAGATGTTGATTGGAACGCACTTGGTCCTGCCCTCTGAGACTTAAATTCTTTGTTTTATTTTCCCCCCCCAGGAAGCCCAGAATTCCCACGTCTACTGGGTGAGTGCTTCCCTGTGGGAGGAGAGAAGCTCAGGAGATGGGGCGCATTGTCAAGTCTTTGTTGCCTTTTGCTTTCCTGGAATTCTGGGGGGACTGGCCCGAGGTCTGTCCCTTCTCAGATGTGACTCTCTCCGCCCCCACAGTGGCGCTACTGCATCCGCTTGGAGAACCTCGACAGCGACGTGGTGCAGCTCCGGGAGCGACACTGGAGGATATTCAGTTTGTCTGGCACCCTGGAGACTGTGCGAGGCCGCGGGGTGGTGGGCAGGGTGAGCGTCGCCAGGCTGTGACGGCCTGTCCGTGGCCCTGCCCGGCAGGCCTGGGGGCCGAGCGCGTGCTTTCCTGCTCCTCTGTGGCTGGGGCCGGGGGCTGCGTGTGTGAACGCGTTGGGCTGTTTTGGGTGACACCTTACAACGACCCTGAGAGACAGGTTTCTTACAACCTGTTTCGCAGAGGAAGGGAAAGGTTGCAAAATGAAATACAGCCCACGGTCCCATGGCTGGTAGTGGCGGGACCTGGATCTGAACCCAAGCGACGCTGACAGCAGAGTTTGTGTAGAGTTCTTGCTGCCAGCACGGGGCCTTATCAACAATACGAATTTGAGTGCACTTCGGTGGGGCTTCCCCGCCCCGTCCCCAGCCACGACTCCCAGCTGTCCTTCCTCTACCTTCTTACATGCCTGCACCCTCTGCTGGTCCGTGAGATCTGATTTTGCAAATCGCGCGCTACCCCACCCTGTCCCCTGAGAAACAAAGTCCCGAAAAATGGCCAGGAGCCACACTGAACATGTATTTAGTCACATCAGCGGGGACTTGGGAAGCAGGTGGGATAGTGAATAGGGACAGGGCTTTGGAGTTAGATGGTCTGGCTCTGAATGCCAGTTTGGGCCCGTTATTTAAGCAAAAGTCAGTTTCTTTCCGCTAAAATGGGAGTCACACCCAATTACTAGGGGATTTAGGTCAGCAAATGTTTGCAGAGCACCTGGCGCTTGGCAGTAGGCACTCAGCGAATGGGCGCCAGGAGGCGTATTTACAGAGTAGGTCCTGTGCCTGGGGTCGCGGGGCCCGCAGACATTCAGTCTGAGGTTCCCTTTCCAGAATCCAGATAAAAGATACCGGCAGGCAGCTGCTGTGGGAAGCCTGGGGGGGGGGGCACCCAGTCCTGATGAACGGGCAGGCAGCACGTGGCCCCAGGGCACAGGGGCTTGTCCGGCCTCACCTATCTTGTCCGCACGCTTACAGGAGCCAGTGCTATCCAAGGAGCAGCCCGCCTTCCAGTATAGCAGCCACGTCTCCCTGCAGGCCTCCAGCGGCCACATGTGGTGAGTGCGAGCTGGGGACAGGGCCGCCGCTCCGCAGACGGAGAAGCGAAAGCTTGGAGTTTGCGGTTAATCCTGGGTCAGGCAACAGCCTCAGGCGGAGCCTTATCTGCTGTCCGCTGTTGTGTGGGCCTTCTCTATTTTTTTTTTTTTTTAGAGAGAGGGGCACAAGCAGGGGAGAGAGGGGGAGAGGGAAAGGGAGAGAATCTTAATCAGACTTCACACTCAGCGCAGAGCCCAACTTGGGGCTCAATCCCATGACCCCGAGATCATGACCTGAGCTGAAATCAAGAGTCGGATGCGCAACTGAATGAGCCACACAGGCGCCCCACACTTGTCTGATTTTTTTTTTTTTTTTTTTTAATGACTACTCGTGTTCTAGTTTCCCTGTGATTTGGTGGGCTGGGGGCTTGGACCGAGGCGGTCTGGTGGTCTGATGCTGCGCTGAGTTGCCCGTGTAGTTTTTTTCTCCCTGGTGCTTCACTCCCTAACGCGGAAGTATAGCTGGCCAGCTCGCACGGTGCGCATCTCAGGGCCTGAATCAGGGCGGCTGTTGTCTCTTCTTTTCACGTAGGGTTCGGAAGGGCTCCTGGGTTTGTGGACTGGGGTGACCCTGACACGGACCAGGCAGAAGAGAGCCCAGGCCTGTCTCATCCTGCCGTGTTCAGTTCTGGAGCTGTGGCCGAAGGGCTCTCCGGACCCTCAGGGGGGCCTCAGCCTTCACTCCCTCTCACCCGGCTTCTCTCTGACCGCAGGGGTACGTTCCGCTTCGAGAGGCCTGATGGCTCCCACTTTGACGTCCGGATCCCTCCCTTCTCTCTGGAAAGCAATAAAGATGAGAAGACACCACCGTCAGGCCTTCACTGGTAGGCCGGCTGAGGCCGGGGTGCCTAGGCTCGGCCCCGAAGACAGCTCTGGCCCCACGGTTGCTGCAGAACTCTCTCTCCCGTGGGCCACAGTGGGTCTCTCTGTCGCTGCACCGTTTGACTGCGGGGTTCTTTTTTTGGTGGGTGGGTGGGTGTACTTTTCTCCAGAAGGCCCGTGTAGGACCCCTCCGAGGCTGGCTTCCCCCGGCTACACTGTGTTCCGGTAAACCTTTCCACCAGGAATTCTGTGTCCAGCGGCCAAGGGCTGGGGCTTTCCCGGCCTGTCACACACGTTGTTTGAAATAGGTTTGGTCAATAAACCAGTGCACACTTGGCCACCCTCGCCATTTCTGCCCCCGGGGGTCCCAGGCCCTTTTTGATGCAGCGGGGGCCTTCGGATGCTCTCCTGACTGCCCTTCCAGGAGGCTGCCCCATCCACTAGAGTTATGTGTTTGTTTCCCTCTTGAAGCTGGGGGTCGGCTGGACGTCTCCCGGGGTCACCGTGCCTCCCTCAGCCAGCAGGGTGGGGGCTAGCCTGGACTCCCGTTCTTTATCCCAAGTGCAGAGCAGGAGGCCAGCCTCAGGCTCAGGTGCTCAGCGCTGGCCAGCCATGGACACCGCCGGCTTCCCTGAGCCTGGGAAGGGGTGGGCAAGCCAGCTGAGTTTCCTAGAACAGGCCTGCGGGACGAGCATGCGTCCGTCAGACCCCAGGCCACCACTGCAGAAACTCGGCCGAGGGGCGTTAGGTACGGACAGACGGTGACTGAGCCAAGCTACTTTCTGGGCTGCTCGCAGATCTCCAAGAGCCAGAAATGAAATGTGCTGCATTTCCCCCTGAATCTTAGGATTCCTGCTTCCCTGCTACCATAGTGATTGTCAAAGAGATGGTTTTATTCTTGGATTAATATTAAATCTCGGTTCCAGCCCTTATTAGTGTTGTCCTTAATCCTCCGCCAGGGGGAGCCTGGGTTACAGGGCCACTGAGTGCCGTAGGCTTTCTGACGCAGGGAGGACACAGGCAGTGAACAGTGAACAGAAACAGGAGACTCACGTCCAGGGCACCACGCCGCCCCAGCCATGACCACTGTAAGCAGGGCTCTGTAACACAATTTTATTAGAAATTAGTGTTTGTTTCCATCACCTATGTTGAGCAACAAAGAATTGTCGTTATGTGACAAAGAAGTTCTGGGCCTTCCTTTAGGCAGGTATCAGTCAGATAAGAAATTGAATGACACCCAGTATGGGTACACGGGGTCACCAGCAGGCTTCCGGTTTTCTCAGAAACCCGTAAGGTCTGACCTTCACGCACGCTTTCTGTTTACTTTCCCCGGGCTGCTCGGAGTCGAAAAATAAAGCCAAGAGCTTCTTTCTGAAGGGGGCTGAGAAACTCAAAGAAAGTTCTCTAAGCACTTGTGCCACAAAGTCTGGTTAAAGAAGCTAAAGTTATGTCAGTGATTTCAATGTTAGTATTTTTCTTAAGACCAAGGAGATACTTTGCATCAGTCCAGGACTACTGTGCTTTCTCGGGAAGAGAGCAGTCCCCACGGAAATGGCTGAGGGCCGGCTGTAAATGTCAAAGCAGTAAAGAGAGACTGCTGGACTGGGGAGGTCAAAGGGCAGGTATTAAAATACCTCAGTGGGGAGCCGGCACTTGGAGCATTAGAAGGCTTCAGGAGGGCAGAGGAAGAAATAGGCCAGTGGCCTCTGGCAGGAGCATTCCGGCGTCTGTGGGAAAGCCACAAAGCCATTGCCGGAATGTGGCCACAGAAACGGATTTGTCTTCATCTTGTTACTCCAGCGAGGGCTGAAAGAAGTGTCTGAGCCGATAACCAGGGTGCCTTTCTTGAAAGTCTTGTTATTTTCAAGGCTGTGACAAGTGTAAATGCCTGGTCAGTCCCAGCCCCTGGCCCCATCATGTCATTTCAGGTCCTTGTGGGTGTCTACTGTCCTTAGCCTGGCATTTGCCCAGAGGCTCTATTGGGTCAGCCACAAGCAGGCCCCTTAGCTATGGTGACAGCAGGCAGGCGATGAACCTGATGAGCAGCGTTCCTTCCCGGGTGACTACTACCCAGTGGCCACGCTGTCTTGTCAGGCTGGCTGAACAGAGCCCTCCCTGAGAGCATTCCTCTGGAGAAGAATTTGGGTAAGCAGCCTCCCAAGGGCCAAGCCAAACAGAAGGCAGCGGACAAAAGCCCCGAGGAAGAACCTTGCACCCTTGCCCAAAAGCTGGTGCGTGGCCACGTGACCCAGTGAGAAGGAAACGAAGGAAGCTTTCAAGGGACTTCGGCTGCTCACGTTACCCCGCGTCCAGACTCTGCGCTGGGCAGAACCGCCGTCCTGGCCGGGACACGAAGCCCATAATAGGCGGTGGGGGACGGTGGTTATATGGCCAAGCACAGGCCACCTCGGCACAGAGCCGGGAATGCGGGGCTCGTGCTCACTGTCCTCGGCTGATGGGCATCCAAGAGCAGTGCCCACAGGCCCCACAGCCTGCCCACCGTGGCTCATGCTCCCAGCTCCAACAGCTCTCTGGTAAGTAAAACAAGGCACGCCTTGGAGGTGAGGGCAAGAGAATTGGAAAGAGCCATCATGTGAGGCCCTAGGAGTCAGGTACGTGACCTTAAGACATTGGGGTAAAAGGTCCTTTCTCACAGTCATCATCAGGACCCCAGTTCCCGATTTAAACATCCTTTCTTCCTGTGGGCTCTCTGGGCCGGCTGCTTGGCCAGCCCGGCAGAGCCAAAGCTAGTAAATTGGTTTCGGTGGTGGTGGCTTTGCTTTTATTGCTTCTCTAGCCCCTCTGATTCTGTGGGAAAGAGGGGGTTGGGGTCAGAAAAAGATGAGGGGGTCAGGGCAGAATACAAATCTCCTGAATAAAAGTACAAAGTGCTTTAAAGAAACTGATCCCAAAGGCATCAAAAAAGGCCAAGGGCTATGCCCTGCCCACGGTGAGGGCACCCTTGAGGGGTAGCCCAAGTCACCCAGGGCCCTCGTTGTTAAAGATTTAAAACTATTCATTTTCTAGATAATTTGTTAAAAACCAAAACTGTGAAGGCTGTGCTTAAACACCATAAGGGAAAAGGAGCCCCACCTTCCGAGAGAGACTGGGCCTCCCCAGCACCGGAATGAACCCATTCCCCGTGCACCTCAGCAGAGGCCCAAAGGCAGCCCCTCGGTGGAGCGAAGGGGCCAAGGGGAATGCTCTCGTGGGAGGTGGGCCGGTCAGTCCGTTCACCCCGGGGGGGCGGCAGCGGCTCGCTGCCAGGAAGGCCGAGCAGAGGGTCCAGGACTCCGTCACCTTGAGGGGCTCGGGGAGCGGGGCAAAGGGAGGGGGTCCCTCTCCTGCCCAGGCCCTCGAACTCCCTGTCGTGCCTCCGGGTGCTGGGACGGAAACCCAGGCGGCAGCAGCGCGGGGCGGCCAGTGCGGCAGGGCTCCCCAGGAGGGGAGGCGGGGCGGCCCGTGCCCTGCCTCCCCCGGGGTCTTGTCAGTCGCGGTGGGAAGACTGGTGGCCGAGCTGCCGGTCGTCGTAGGTGCTGTAGCGCTTGACGTGGATGCGGCGGACACGGTCCCGCAGTTCGAAGGCCTCCTCATCTTCGCTGGGGGAGGCCTGGCTGCGGCTGCGGCTCGTGGCCTCCAATAAGGAGTTGTCGGGGACGCGGGGGGTCTCGTAGAGGAGGACGTTGAGAGTCTCCTCATAGATCCGGGCCTCCGGGAACTCCACCTGGGGGCGGGGGGCGAGAGAGCTGAATGAGGTTCCATCCGACGGAGGGAGCAACATGGCGGGGCCCCTGGCTCTGGGCTGCCTCCGTGAGGCCTCCTGAACTCTCCCACGAGACGGCCGGCTTTCTGTCTCGTGAGGGAGGGGAGGGCTCTCTCTGAAGACATGAGGAGATGCACCCTGTGGGCATGAGGGTGCCAAAGCCTCGCACGCGGCCCATGCCCCGCCCAGTCCCAGACCAACGGACTGGTTATGCGGAGAGGTTAGGGTCTTGGCTTTGTGGTCAGACCTCGGCTTAAATACCGCCCCACCATTCACTAGCTGTTGTGCCTCAGTTTCCACATGTGTAAAAAAATCATGGTTAATCTTTACTTCAGAGTTGCGGACGTTACATGAAAGACGGGGTGCCTGGGTGGCTCGGTCGGTTGAGCATCTGACTTGACATTGGCTCAGGTCATGGGCCTGGGGTCACGGGATCGAGCCCCACATCACACTCCTGGCACTGCCTTGAGATTCTGTATCTCTCCCTCTGTCCTCCTCCCCAACTTGTCCCCCCCCCAAAAAAAGGATGGCATTCAAGGCACCTGAATTCTAGCCTAACTTGAGCTTCTGTTCCGTCAGCTGTCAAATGGGGAGAACAGTCCAGATCAGCCTGTCTCACAGGTGTGGGAGGAGGGGTCAGAAAGTTCACAAATGAGAAAGTGCTTAGGAAGAAGGCAGGTGTCGCTGCCACTTCCACAGTGTAACCAGCCCCCACAGACCTGTCCCTGACTCGACTCCGCTGACACGCGCACATGGGAGGCCTCACCCCCGAAATGACAGGAGGAAGCAGGGCTACCTCCTGGAAGCTGTCCTTGCCCAAGCCCCAGACTGCCCAGCCAGAGGCATCGCAGTGGCCAAGCAGCTGCTCCACAAGCTTGGTGGCTTTGAGCCCCTCACACATTTAACTGTCTCCGCCCCCACCCCCAAGTTGTCTTCCGGGCCCAGCAAAGCCCTGCTGCCTCCGTGACACACCCTCTTGGGGTGGCCAGGTCCCCGCCAGCTTGCAGCCCTGGAGAATGGGGTTCGCAGTCTGTGTTAACTGTCACCTGTCAAATCCCTCCTGTACCCGGCGCCGCGTGGTCACAGCAGAGGCTGCGCTGAGTGACCAGGGACCCGCAAGCAGCAAGGGCCAGAGGGGACAGCAGAACAGCCACTTCCACCAGCCAGCCTGTACTGCCTCTCCTGGGAGCTGTCTCACGTTCGTTCTGCTTCCGCCGAATTCCCACTATCGTTCCCGCGTTTGCAGAGGAGGAAGCTCTAAGTGGCTTATGCGGCGTCAGAAAACTGGTAAATGGCGGAACCAGAATTCAAACCGGAGCTGGGCCAGCTCCAAAGACCCGGTCCTTTCCCCTGTACCACACTGTAAGCGCTCCCCAAACTTCTGGAGCCGTCCGGCACCATCACGAAAGTTTCGGGGCAACAGAGCAAACGGGACACCTCATTTGCTCCCTGTGGTGAAAGGCACAGCTGAGGCCGCGCTGCTATGTGCCGCCACCCCCCCCCCCCCCCCCCCCCATGCAGAGGGAAGCCCCTCACCTTGGTCTGTTTCTTCTCCGTGGCGTACACGATGGAGGTGCAGCACACCTCTGCCAGCTTGCGCCCCTGCCCGTAGAAGGACCAGCAGCAGATCTCGTCGCCAATGACATCCTTGAGGAACAGCACGCGGCCGTTGAAGCGCAGAGACAGCTTGTCAAACAGCTCGATGTTTTTCAGCAGGTGGTCGTCGGAGTTGCTGAAAAACCCACGAAGGCCGGTGGGCCGGGGAATGAGGTTCCAGCACAGGAGAGGGGCTAGCTGGGGGCCTCCCTCTCTGCCCCTCCCCATCACACACAACTGAGGGAAAGCCAAGATGCCGGGGNTAAGTATACACTGTATTCCCCAAGGATCAACCTTCAAATTATATGGACTGTTGTAGTCGTTGCTAACCACACAAGAGGTGGGGGGGGGGGGGGGGGCCTCCCTCTCTGCCCCTCCCCATCACACACAACTGAGGGAAAGCCAAGATGGGGGGGGGGGGGGGCGGGGGGCAGGAAGAGAAAGGGTCAAGGGGCACCCTCTGGGTTTGGGGGTCTGTGAGGATAAAGAGGGGAGTTGGTTTTAAGTTAGAGCAGAGAGAGGGGCGCCTGGGTGGCTCAGTTGGTTAAGTGTCCGACTTCGGCTCAGGTCATGATCTCATGGTTCGTGAATTCGAGCCCCGCATCAGGCTCTGTGCTGACAGGGTGGAGCCTGCCTGGGACTCTCTGGCTCTCTGCCCTCTCCCACTTGTATGCACTCACGCGGGTGCTCACTCTCTCTCTAAGTAAATAAGTCAACTTAAAAAAAAAAATCATATATAAAAAAAAGTTAAAGCGGAAAGAACTGAAGGAGGGAGGTCTCCTCTCATTAGGCCCAGAAGGAGGGAGGCTGGCTGCCATCGAGGCAGGAGGCCCCCCTCCCTTGCTATGGGGGTGACGCTGGGAACATGTCCGTCCACAAGACTCCCCGAGCCTGTGGCCTTCTGGGTCGACCTAACCGTGGCCCGGCCATGAACACAAAGGCCGGCCTAGGCCGTGTCCGCCTCATGAGATAACGCCGGGAAAACACCCGGCGCCCTGCCTGACACGACGCGTCGGGGCGGAGGCCTGTTCCACGCGCATTCCCATCTATATCCCCAGCCGGGGCCCTGCGCCAGGTTCTAGATGCCTCTGCCCTGACCTCCCTTCTCCTCTCCGTTCTTCCCTCCTGAGACGCAGCCCCTCGCCAACCCTGCCGGGGGGTGTGGGCGGCTTCTCTTGGGTCTGCCGCCCCGCTGCCGGCTGCCTAGTCCTTCTAGCTACTTCCGCAGCCCTGCCCCCGGCTCCGGCGCCCGCCCCCTCAGCCCGCAGACGCCCACCCTACCTGGTGTAGGAATACTTGTTGTTGCTTCTATTGTACAGCAGCTTCACCACGGGCTGGGAGGGAGGAGAGCGTGAGGGCCGGGCCAGGGTCCCGTCCGCCCCCACCCACAGCCCTCAGAGGTGCCGGTACCTTGGTGGAGGATTCGATGAGCTTCTCTTCCTCTTTCAGGGATGTGACGATGGGGATGTTGCACACAGGCTGGTAGGAGTCCTTCTTGTCCTGGGTGACACACACAGCCGAGGATCTTTTTTGAGCTCTCCTGCTCGCCAGGCTAAATCAGGCTTTCCCCAGCAGCCGTCCGAGCCCCTGTGCCAAGGCCACCCTCTGCTTGTTGAGATATCTGGCAACAGAAACTGCCAGCTGGCGGGCGGCACCCCGTTTCCAGAAAGCCTAAAATCCGGATATCGAAGCGTAGAAACTGGAAGCTGGGCTTAGTCAAAACGCCGGAGTCGGTCGCCTCACAAACGGACCAGCTGCCGGTGTCCTTGGCCTGGGCACCACCTCCCTGGGGCACCTAACTGGGTCCGGACTCCCCGCACCTGTCACACAGCCTTCCGGGAACTGGACCCTGACGTCCCCGAGGCAGACGCCCAACTCCCCACCTCCTCGGCCTGACTCAACCGTATCCCCGTACCTGCAGGGCAGTCTGGCACATGTTTACCAGCCCCTGAATGAGGTAATATTTTGCTTCGGCCATCAATTCTTTGATTTCCTGCCGGTTTTGCGGGAGGACGATGGTGTCATCTCGGAGGTAACTCAAAATGGTGCCTAAGTGCTTTCCGCATCGGTCTATGAGGATCCAGCCTGGGGATTCAGACAGGCCCCAGACAGTGACTCTCTGTCTCCAGGCTGCAGGCAGCAGGCAAAGGCCACCTGATAAGCCTGGCGGCGGGTGGTAAGCTCATGAGCACAGAGTGCCCGCCACGGGGTCGCAGAAGCGGGACGCTACCTCTAGCTCTTAGGCCTCTGGCTGTTCTTCCTTCGACCAAGAACTGGCACGTGCTGTGGGGACAGAGGCTCACAGGACTGCTCAGGACCACCTCCCGGGAACGGAAACCCCTGAGCCCTGCCTGCCTTCCGGGTACTGCCCAGTCACTACCGCAATGGTTCCTGGAAGAATCTAGTCCTCCGCGAACAGTTAAGGAGTACAGATCTCCTCCCTGGAAAGCCGGTAAGCACGCATCATTCTACGTGCAATTTCGAAGAATCCCGAAGCTCTACCGAGGACTCCAGGTGAGGGAGTCCCGTACTGGGTTACCAGGAAAAGCCAACCTAGAGTCTAGCTCTTCTAGGCGTAAGCCCTGCCCCAAGGGCACTTCCTCAGGGACACGTCCTTCCCTCCTTGGCCAGCCCAACAAGCCCCGATGCCTCACCTTCTTTGTCGGTCAGCACCTCCATGCGCCCGCTGAACATGGCCTTGAGCATGGTGTCATGGCGGGTCAGCGCCCGCACCGTGGTGTAGTAGAGGGAGCCGCCCACATTGAGCTGCACGTATTTGTTGCCCAGGCCTCCTCCCTTGAAGCCGCCTAGCTTGGGCTTGGCGCCTGACGCTGGGCACAGACAGGTGTCCCCTGACATCTCCCGCTGCAGGTAGATCACCACACGGCAGGAGGTCGGCTTGGCAGGCTCCGCCGTGGTGGAAGGATCACGAGTGAGCGGCCAGTGGAGGCCAGAGCCTCATACTCTCGGCACTGTGAGCAGGAGACGGGAGAGGAGACAGGAGTCAGCGGGCGACAGCCGTAGGCCGAGAGGGGCCAGGAGACCACGTAGCCATTCTCTCCTTGACACGCAAACGGCAAAGGAAGACCCTCCTGCTATTGCTTCCGGTACCAGGAGCCAGCACAGTCCCCCAGAGCCCGCTCACCAGCTCAGCAGAGCCTCCCTGAGACTCGGCTCAGCTCTAGGCGGCAAATGGTCTAGCAAACCCCTGAAGTTAGTCGGAGATGCTGGAGGAACAGATAGGGCAGCGGGAGTCTGCTCCCTGGGAATCCACCGTCCAATGCCAGTTATTTTCTCCCCAAGGTTCCCAGGAGCCAGAGGGACAGGATGCACTTCCTTTCTAAAAGTTCCAGGCGCAGAAGCAGCCCTTTCCAGTCTGGCTTCAGAAAGGAAAGTAAAAGCAGCTTCAGGAGAGCATGGAAGGAGCCAGGCTGGAGGCCGCCGGCCCAGTGTTCCTGGCAGAGGTTACACTGGCTCCAGTGGCGTTTCCTGACCTTCCCCTTTCATGGCTCCAGCCTTGTCCCAAGTTCCTGAAATTGTCACCAGGTTTCAGGAGAGAACAACTACAGGATGGCTATTTTTGCTTCTTTGTTCCTGAGGGGAGGCCCAGCCCTCTCTCTTCCTTTCTTTCTGCCCACAAGACTGGGGAGAAGGAGCTCCAAAAGATCAGATGATAAATCTGAAAGCAACTGATTTGGGAACTGAAGCGCCGATAGGCATTTATAGGAGGGAGGAGCAAGGACACAAAGGAGGGCACAGCCAGCTCACCCCTTGTGATCGAGATTCTGCCTTAATGCTTTGGTTTCCTAAGGAATCACTAACTCATTCATTCACCGGGGGAAAAAAAAAAAGCCAGCATGCACTGCGTGTTTACTATGTTTAGGTACTAATCTAGGGACTTAATATATATACATTACTTCATTTGATTCATTCAGCAATAAAACAATACTGAGCGCCTACTATGTTAAGCAGTAGAGACAGAGGGATGAAAAGATACTGACCTTGCCTAGAAGGAGTCCAAAGAAGCATCACAATGTTAACAAGAACAAAAATAAGGAGAGTTGGCAGTTATGTGCCAGGCACTGAGGATACAGAAGAGAATAAGTCATGGCCTCATGGAGCTTACATTCTAGGGAGGGGGAAGCCAGACAATAAGCTAGCCAATGAACACATAAGCGAGCAATTCTAGAAGGTAAGAAATGCAGTAAATAAGCTGGTGATAAGAGAGTGACTAGGGCTTAGTACTAATTGGTACAGGGAAAGCCTCTTTGGGAAGGCGACATTCCAGCTGAAGGCTGAAAGCGCATTCCAGACAGATGGGAGAGTTAAGTGCAAAGTTTCTCAGTCAAGATACGAGTTTTAGAACAGAAACAAGGCCAAGATGTCTAGTGCGCATCTTGGCTTGATGTAAAGCCAGGTAACGCAGGGGCCGGATCCTACTAAAGAGTCTGCATTTTAGGAAGGAGACGCCTGGGTGGTTCAGTCGGTTGAGCGTCCGACTTCGGCTCAGGTTGTGATCTCACTGCTGGTGCAGTGAGACGCGGGATTTGAGTCCCGCGTCGGGCTCTGTGCTGACAGCTCGGGGCCTAGAGCCTGCTTCGGATTCTGTGTCCCCCCCTCTCTCTGCCCCTCCCCCGCTTGCGCTCTGCCTCTCTCAAAAATAAATAAGCATTAAAAAAATGAAAAATAAATAAAAAGAAACAAAAATTTTTTAAAGAGTCTGCATTTTGCATTAACTGCAACGGCAATCGACTGGACTGTCTTAAGCAGGGGAGCGTTAGAATCCGAGTTACTCACACTTCGAAAGGATCACTGGCTGCCGTGTAGAGAACGGACAGGACCGTTAAGGGTGCAAGAGAGCAAGTGGGAAGACCAGAGGAAGCAGCAGCGTAGGCAAGAGATGAAGGCCTGGACTGCAGTGTTGGTCACGGAGCCAGAGAAGAGGTGAAACTACCTCATGTAGTTATCACGACACGCAAACATTTACAGTTACACATTGCGCCTGCAAGTAGAATCCAGGAGCCAAGGTGGTGCTTCCCCAACTTTACCGCTCTACTGTCTACAGGGGCGCTTAGCACAACGCCAGGCACCGTTAGAAGTATTTAATCCATGTCAGTTTGTCAGACTGAAATTGTCCCCCAAAAAGATTTAGGTAGGTCCCTAGGAAGGATGTCTCAAAAAAGGGCCAGAATGGGTGCTGTGTGCAGTTCAGGATTTCTTCTGAATTTCTGAGACCCATTTGCCTGGAGGATGAGATGATCTCTCACCTGCGGAATGCCCCATGAGTAAGTAACACACGAATAGTAGGAAATTGCCGCACCTTCCTCCACCCACCCCAAAGGAATAAATCCACTCCTTAACAGGTTTTAGCAAGTTCCGCGCGTATTTTGTGTCTCGCCCCGATTTCCCCAGGATAAAGACAGCGGACCTATGCTGTGCCAAAGTAAAGGAACTCAAAGGCCAGGCGGTGGCCAACGGAGCCTACAAAGCGGCTGCTTTGAGCCCCCAGATGACGTCAGCTCAGATGCCGCCCGCTCAGATTCTTCCCAGGCCAATGGGCTCCAGGAATCTTGTGGCAGGTGACGCCCCAGAAAGTAATTCCAGTGAGAATGAAGTTTCCACGGATAGCCTCAGTGCTGTTCCTTCCGGACTTTGTGTGTGGATATTTGGGGATGCCTGCCTGGGGCTGAGGGCGTATCCGTCTCTCTCAGCGAGGCTAATGGGAACCTAAGCAGAATAAAGGGCAGGAAAAACAACCACGGCCATGGAAGAAGGTGGGGTCCTAAAGGAAGAAGGACCCAGAAATCCATCACACAAGGTGGTGGTGGGGCGGGCGGCCGATCTCGGGTGGAGGGGGCGGGATCTAGCAGCAATCTTAGGTATAAATCTGAGGCTTCGTCCAAAGGGTCTGGAAAGATCTGGCGGGACCCAACCTCTCTGTGGTCTTCCCCAGCCTGCACCCCTCCTCACCACCGAGAAACGGACCGATTCTGACACCCATCCCAGCGGAAGATTGAGCTCTCCATCTCCCCTACGCCGTTCCACGCCTTTTTCCCCAGGACTGGGTGGGGCTCCCTGCTCCAGCCCCGGGCCCGTCCATCCTGTCCCCCAGGGCATCCGCAGCCCGGCTCTCACCGTCCCCGGGGGGCGCCTCTCCTCCTAGCTGGGTTGCAAGCCGACCCCGTGCCGCCCTGGGCTGTGGCCGCCTGCCCGCCAGCAATCCCGGGCTGTGAGCTCACATCCTCCGCCCGCGCGCGTACCCGCCCCGAGCCGCGGCGCAGCCCCGCCCGCCCCGCGCAGCCCGGGACTCTGAGGCCGGTCCTGCCCGGCACCCAATCACGGGGGAGGGAGGGGCCCGCGGAGAGCGCACAGCTACTTCCTGCAGCCTTTCCGGCGCAAAGGCCTCTGGATCTTGTAGGCAGTCGCCCCCCCCCCCCCCCCCCCCCCCCCTCGTGGGGCTCTGTTTCCCAGCAGGCTTTGCGGGCTGGGCAGGGTGAGTGCTTCCGCCGTCAGGTGATGACGTGTGGGTAAACAGGTCCAGTATCCGTGGCAGCGGCTGAGGCCGGCGGGCGAGGAGGCACCGGCTGCCGCTAACCGGGGAGAGAAACTGCCTGTCGCAAGCAGCCCGGGCCGCAGCGCGCCGCCGCTACGGGGTTGGCAGGTAGGCAGTGACTGCGGGTCGGGGGACGCGGGCGGACCCCGGGACGAGTGAACCTGACAGGCCGAAAGAAAACGTGGGGATTCCGCGCGATTCTTTGCGGGGCGGTGTCACGCCCAGCTTGGGCCTGGAGCTTAAACGCGCTGATGGTGCTCGCCACCGTCTTGTGAGGAAACTGCGGTTCAGGCTTTTGCGTAGTGTGGACGGCCAGCTCCGTCACCCAGGTCTTCCTAACTGTACGCCCCGCGCCCCTTCCCCTCGCCCCGCCCGCGGCGCCTGCAGTGCGGGGAGTGGACCTGGGAGAGCCAGGGGGCGGAGAGAGTGTCGCCGGTGTCCTCGCCGGGGAGCTCCGTGCGGCTCTTGTGCCCGGCGTTCCTCAGATGCCCAGACACGCACGTGTGGTGGGGGTCGGGAGAGAATCTGATAGTTGGCCGTGAACCCTCACCCTACCCTCCTTCTCCCGTCCTATCCATCTCACTACTCTGCCCTCCAAACATCCAGTTGGCGCTCAAGCCGCATCCAAGGGAATCTTGGCCGACTCTTCTTCTCTCGTCCCCAAACCCTTAACGTTCATTCAATCCTTTACTAAATGCTATCACCTAGACTCACATGACATCGCGAAGTGGACCGCTTTGTTTCAGCTCCAAGCCTTGGTTACCGCAACAGCCTTTTCTTTTTTTTTTCTTTTTCCTCTTTCCACATTCCTTCCACAAACATTTGCCGAGTTGCAGGCACTCGGTGTGTGCAGGCACCGTGCTAGATGCGAGGGTTACAGTGATGAACAAGGGAGGTGCGGCCCTTTCTTCTGTTCCCTCCAGTTCATTCTCCATCCCGGGTCTCAGTGATCATTCCAGAAGGCAGATAGATCTGTGCCACTTTGCTGAGAATCTGCGGGCTGTCCGCTACCCTTATGAGAAAATCCAAGCTCACGACTGCGCTTTTCAGAGCCCGCCGTGAACCAGCTCTGGCTTCCCCGTCTAGACTTACCCTGTTCCGCACTCCACCTTGTCCACTGGGTTTGAACCACACTGGCCTTTCGGTTCTTGGAATGCGTCAACTTTCTTTCAGCCTCAGGATCTTCACCTAGTGTTTTCCTTCTGCCGGGAATGCCTCCTCCCCGCCTGGCAAACTTTGGGATGGTCTTTGGGGCTTTTATTGAGACACTCCGGGCCCCATATGGGTTGTGTCCTCTTGCAGCAGCTTCGTATGACACCCTGTGCTTTTCCTCATACTGTTGTCACAGTTCGTGATTCTTTGTTTCCTCTCTGTCCAGAGGTCAGGAACTAAAGCATCTTATTCAGTACTGTGTCTCCAGGGCGGGGGCGCAGAAGATGTATCTGACTAAATGCCTCCTCTCAGGGACGGGAGTGGCCGTCGAAAAAGATTACTTGCTCCCTCGGGTTACTGGAAGCTTTCTAGAGCAGTGGGTCTGATTAATCCCCTGGTAGGTGTTCGGTGCTCAGACTGTATGTGTTAATGTCACGGAACAAGCAGGAAGAGAGAACAGATCTTTAAAAAAATTTTTTTTAACGTTTATTCATTTTTAAGAGGGAAAGAGAGATCCCAAGCAGGGGTAGAGAGGGAGACACAGAATCCGAAGCAGGCTCTGGGCTCTGAGCTGTCAGCACAGAGCCCGACGTGGGGCTCGAACCCACACACCGTGAGATCGTGACCTGAGCCAAAGTCGGACACTTAACTGATTGAGCCACCCAGGTGCCCCGAAAAGAGAGAGCTTTTTTAAAAAAAAGCTGGATTAAAATTTAAAAACAAGGGCGCCTGGGTGCCTTAGTCGGTTAAGCGTCCGACTTTCGCTTAGGTCACGATCTCGCGGTTCGTGGGTTCGAGCCCCGCGTCGGGCTCTGTGCTGACTGCCAGCTCAGAGCCTGGAGCCTGTTTCAGTCTGTGACTCCCTCTCTCTCTGACCCTCCCCTGCTCATGCTGTCTCTCTCTCTCTCTCCTAGAAATAAATAAAACATAAAAAAAAAAATTAAAAAAAAAATTTAAAAACAAAAAATAAAAAGAAGGACTTAAAGGGACAACTATATATAAAAAAATAAAAAGCTTGATTAAAAGGAAGCCTGGGATAATTAAAATGTTGCAAGAGGAAGAAGATGCTAGCCTCTTTCCTTCCGGTGGGTGAGAGGCTCTGGGCCACCGTCATACCCAGTGTATGGACATGCATTAGTCGACCCGCAGTGTTGGATGCGGTACTTCCTTTAAATTTTTGAATTCAGTGCTTTCCTTTAAAAATCAGATTTCACGTATAAATCTGGCTGTCTTGAAAATTCAGTCCTGATCACTGTGGGACTTAATTCTTTTTTTTTTTTTTTTAATTTTTTAACGTTTTTATTTATTATTGAGAGAGAGAGAGACAGAGCATGAGCATCGGAAGGGCAGAGAGAGGGAGAGACACAGAATCTGAAGGAGAGCCCAGTGCGGGGCTCTAACTCACAAACCGCGACATCGTGACCCGAGCTGAAGTCGGACGCTTAACCGACTGAGCCACCAGGCGCCTCTGTTTTATTTTGTTTTGAGCCAGAATGAGGGTGAGTTTTCAGCGTTTCCCAGAATCGAGGCATCCTTTGGACCAGGGGCGTGAGGTGGCCTGGGAGGGGAAAGGATACCCCTGGTGGTGCTCCTGCCTGCAGAAGGAAACCCCAATTCCGTGGCTTGGCGCACACGATCTTCCTGATCTGGCGCCAGGCGACCTTTTCAGCCACACCGTCAGTCCTTTCATACTCTTTCAGTGACTTCAGGCTTTCGCTGTTTTCTCTGATTGGAGCGCCTTTCCCCAGCCTCCTTACTTGGTATGTTCTGGCTGGTACGTCATTTCCTTTTTGTGTTTTCTGCTAGAAGGAGACTGAACCAACTATGGGCCTAGTTCAGGCAAGTGTACGGTGGCCTGTGGTGTACATCGTGGGTAATGGTCTTCTCCTGGTTTATTTTTTTACTCTAATCTGAAATTCACGCAGATTTCCTCTTTTGCTTTCGGCGTGACTTTGCTTTTGGTGCGATCCCAGTACTGTATTTGAAAAGCTTTCTCATGTCCTTTTGGGTACACAGTGGGGGGCTAAGCACGCTTATGACTGCTCACACTTCGTTCCCATGCTCCTCCCTCCCCCCAAGCTGACTGCTCTGTTCTCCGGCACCTGAGTGATATTTCTGTGAAAGCACTTCACACAGTATACTTTGCAGTTTACGTGTCTGTCTTCCTCCAGCTAAACTATGTGCTTCTCCAGGGCGGGCACCATGCTCCACTCATCTTTGTGCCCCCAGCATCTAGCAGTGGTGGCCTGTAGCAGGCCCTCAAGAAATGTGTGTTGAATGAACGGTGCCTGTGACAAGCGGCTGGACTTTACTCTTTCCTGACCTTTGCTCCTATGACACACCTCCTCCCGGCTGCCACTCTCAGCCCTTCCGAGCCGAACTTCTCTTCTCTAGGGAAGCTGGAAGGGAAACAGGTGAGGCTCGGAGAGATGGAGGCAGAGGGAAGGGGCGCCTTCGGAGGAGGAACGTCTGGGTTTTTGGCCTTGGTGTCTGGGTGGGGGGGGCGGGAGCGGGGCTGGGCCGGGAGCAGACATTTCCTTGGGTGGCTGGGAGGTGACGGGGGATTCAGGCTGGTTTCTCCACAGCTATGGCCAAGGACATCTTGGGTGAAGCAGGGCTGCACTTTGATGAGCTGAACAAGCTGCGGGTACTGGACCCCGAGGTTACCCAGCAGACCACGGAGCTCAAGGAAGAGTGCAAGGACTTTGTGGACAGTGAGTGTCGTCTGGGGAGACGTGGGGCCACTCAGCTTTGAGCTGTTCCAACTGTGCCCCACCCCTGCCCCCGCCCGAAGCCCTTGTCCCAGTCACGGCCCTCTGGGAGTCGTGCCTGGCCTTTATCAGCTCCCATGTACTAACCCCCTCGTCCGCCTGCCCCTCTCGTGCGCTCACGTGGTCCCACGCACAGCACAATCAAAACACATGGTGAAATGTAGAGAGGCTGTCCCGTCTTTTGATCGTTTTGCTCTCGGAAACCTTCATGGAAGCAGAACTTCATGGAAGCAGAACTGGGGCTTGGGGGTGGGAGAGAGCTACGTACTCATGATTTGATTTCTTGGAAGAAATCGTTTTCTCAGTCGCGGGGTTATCATCACTTGGAGTGAAAATGGATTAATTAGAGTCTGTAGAAGTAGCTCAGAGGACTCAGTGAAGTCATTTTTGTTTTTAATTAAAAAAAATTTTTTTTTAGAATTGTATTTATTATTGAGATAGAAACAGAGCATGAGTGGGGGGGGCGGGCAGAGAGAGAGGGAGACACAGAATCTGAAGCAGGCTCTAGGCTCCAGGCTGTCAGCATAAGAGCCCGATGTGGGGCCTGAACCCACGAACCGTGAGATCATGACCTGAGCCAAAGTCAGTCGCCTAACCAACTGAGCCACCCAGGCACTTCAGTGAAGTCATTTTTTTTAGCTAGATCCCCAAGACACCTCGTGTCCCAGCAGGCAAGCAAGCCCAAGGGCAGGGAGTAGAGCACGTGTAGTGAAAGCGGGATTTCTGGGCCTTCCGGGCACTCCGTAGTCTGTAGAGAGCTCCACGGGCAAAAGGTAGCTTGGCCTCCTTGGCCAGTCTTCCGACTGCATGTCGTCCCTCCTCCCTGGGTCCAGTTCGCTCCTCAGTAGAACGAGCGAGGTCCCACCACACCCAAGGACATTGAAAAAAGCGAATGGGAGATTAGGCAACTTAAAACGCTGTGAGCTCTTTATTAGCTCTGGTCACAGGAGGCAAACCCCGGCCCCCACCACCACCATTAACTGAAATCTAGGCCTGTATTCACGTCGTGAGTCAGTCCTTCCCTGCACATGCCCTTTGCGCTTCCCCTCCCTCCTGGGGAGGCAGGAGGGGTCCGTGTGGAGGATGGGCCCACCAGGAGCCTCTCAGACAGAGGTTAACAGTCACTGGCTGGCTCAGTTGGGACTCGAGGTCCAAGTGTGCCCTGGTCTAGCTCCGAGCACCGGCCACCCTCCACCCTCCTCGGGGGTTAGCCCGAGGGTGGAAGAGTCTGGGCCAGCACGCTCCAAACTGTCTGGACACCAGTGAGAACGGGCTGTTCGGCCTGCTTTCTCGCCACAAGGGAACACTAAGGGAATGATAATGCAGCGAAAATAAAACACTTTATTTGTTCTTCTTTCCCTACAAGAAATTGGCCAGTTTCAGAAAATAGTTGGTGGTTTAATTGAGCTCGTTGACCAGCTTGCGAAAGAAGCTGAGAATGAGAAGATGAAGGTAAGAGGGATATGCATGCCTTCTCAGTCTTGGCCTGGGACGCAGGGTTCACCAGCCTCCCGCCTGCCCACTTGACTTTTACTTGAGGAGGGGGTGTGGGATGATTTTAGTTCATTAAAACAGGATTTTAAGTGGCAGTTCCCAGGCAAGTTAACCTCCTATCGAACTCTTATGCTAGTACACGTTATTATTTCCTTTCATGGTCACATCACTGAGATGGGTGGTTTTTTGCTTTTGTAAGTGAAGGCGGCATACGTGTGTGGGGGGGGGGGGGGAGGCTGGTCAGTGACCTGGCAAAGGTCACAGGGCTAAATGGTGCCCCAAATAGGCCACTAACACCGTGTGCCAGATGCCGGGGATACTCGCAGACCTGCTCCTGAGCTGCAGTGCAGGTCCCATTGGGCACGTGGGGGACCGTGCAGTTAATCCCCCTTCTTACCTGAAGCTCTGGGGCTCGAGTGTCTTTCCCCGGCTGGGCACTGAGCTAGCCCCCATGCGGCCCTTCCTTGGCTGAGGACTTAGCTGAAGAGGGTTTGGATGAAGCCATGACCTTCTCTGGCAACACTGTTTCTCTAGGCCATCGGTGCTCGGAACTTGCTCAAATCCATCGCAAAGCAGCGAGAGGCCCAGCAGCAGCAACTGCAAGCACTGATAGCAGAAAAAAAAATGCAGCTTGAAAGGTAAGAGGTTATGATGTAAAGCAAGCTCTTTGCTCAACTACAATTCTATTTTTCCCTGTTGAATGGCCACCTTCGTCCTTATTCATCATCGTGCTTTTGGGAATAGTGTCTCGCTTGTCCTCTGATTTGAAGGCTTAAAAAAATAAAACCATGTTTAACGAGAAGGAAAAAGAACACCTTAATACAAAACCACCTCTGGTAGTTTGAGAGTGTGAAAGCTCAGGGAGCGACTGTCCATGAAGCTGGCCAGTCCCCCTAAAGGAAGAGTGGCCCTGGGTTGGGGGGGCTTTGCCTCTTCCTCTCTCTCTCTCACCCTAACTGCTTCATTACGAACTCACACCATTTCTTGGGATCGTTTGAATCACATATATTCTTCTCTAGAAGAATCAAACCCCTGGTTTCTTTCACCCATTTTTAGGGCTTCTAACAATTTTGTCTTTCAGGTATCGGGTTGAATATGAAGCTTTGTGTAAAGTAGAAGCAGAACAAAATGAATTTATTGACCAATTTATTTTTCAGAAATGAACTGAAGGTTTCATTTTATAGCAGGCGGGCAAAAAACACCCCCCCCAAAACCCCTCTGTACCATCCCAGTGACTTGACCAGTGGCCCAAGTGTGCCCTTAGAGATGGCATGGGGAAAACACAGCACCTCCGCAGGCAGTAAGCAAGCGGGGGGCCGGCGGGGGGGGGGGGTGGCCTGCTGCAGATGTCACCAGACATCTGCTGGTCAATTACCCAGTGGGCGCGGTGGTCTGGGCGTTCTTAGCCTGAACTGAGCTGTCTGTACATTCTGATCTTTTTTTTTTTTTGTAAATTCACAAAGCTTTCAAAGGAAGAGCAATAAATTATTGTTTTCAAATGACTTGACCTGCCTCTTTTCCTGTTGCCCTTGAAGTGGACATTGAACGCCTTGTCAGGGAACCCGGGCCGCTCGAGCCCCCAGGCCACGAAACAAACCAGGCAGGGGTCAGCGGCTCCCTCTGTTTGGACGAGACACAGATGGCACACGATCGTCCCCTCAAGCAGACCAATATGGCTTGCGAGCAAAACAGATAAAAAGAGGAAGGGCCAGTTGCCATTTTCCATGCGTCACACAGAGTTTGTTTTTCAGCTGGCCTTGAGCACAAATTTAGAGAAAGCTAAGAAACACCAGTGAAGAGACCCCGTACTGACACAACAGACGTGTCACACCCAGCTGCCCTTCCACTCAGAGGACAGGCCAGGAATGACGATGCACCTCTCAGGGAGGGTGACGTTATCCCACAAGAAGCACGCTTCTGGCTCGGCTTTGAGACCCCAGACCTCAGAGCGGGCCTTACGGGAGACGGTCTGTAAAAACAAGGTTTTTAAGGAGACTTGAAAGAAAATCTTTTCCCGGATGACCTGTTTAAGACAGAAACAAGACACCTTCCAGTTCAACCCATTTCTGAAAGTCAGGCCAGAGCTACCCATTGAGCAAAACCAAGTTTAAACCTCTCACGGAACCCGTTCCCCGCACCAGAGGTGAAGGCAGACACACCAGGATATCGTTTTTAATGAGTATTAAAGAGGCATCATTTCGAACTGAACGGTGGCCTGAAACTGTTGCTGGTCAATGACAGGCCGTGGAGAATCCTGCATCGGGTTTAGTCACCTGTCCATTGTGGGTCAAGTGACTCAGGAATGTGCCAGGCAGGCCACGTGTCTTGAAGTCCATCCAGTTTCCGGTCTGCTCCTGGTTGCTATGGGACCTGGGCACACGGTGAGGCGCCCTTCGTCCATCCTCAGGCGACGGGGCCGCAGGTGCCAGTGTTCTCAGAAGGGGAGGCTTTGATGGGGCTCCTGCTAGTGCCTTGCTTTGGGGTGTTGCTGGTGTGTTTCAAACGTTACTGAAAAACATGGGGTCTGAGCAGTTTTCCGCATCCTGGGTCCACCATGAAACTGCCCTCCGGGCAGCTCCCGCCGGGCCAGCAGTCACCGCTCTCATTTTTTCTTTCTCTTCTCCTCATGCTTGTAGTAGGGGCTCCGCAGCATGAAAAGCAGGAGCATGAGAGGGATGAGAAAGTAGGGGGCATAGACAGACACGAGGGTCAGTCGTTCGTGCAGAGTCTTAGGTCCTGTTCCTTTGAAGCCACTGGCTTTGGAGAAATCCTCGAATAGCAACGTGGAGAGAATTGGCACTAACGTTGTCATGGTGTGAACGGAGTAGATGATTGCAGGGGTGCGGATCCACCGGCAGCCTCCTGGAGTCGGGGGTGGGGGGGAGAAGAGAAGGAGGGGAGCGTTAGGTCGGGGCGCGACTCCAGGGCCCACCACTCTCCACGCTTGCCCCGTTTCCACGGAACCTGCCTCCTGTCTAAGTGCAAACAAATGCAAAACCCGATGTGTTACGCTGTCTAACGCACAGTGCTGGGGCTCTAGCCCACCGACTGCCCAGGACTGAGCGTGGGGGGTGGAATTTAATTCCAAAAAACTCTAGTGGGGCGCCTGGGAGGCTCAGTCGGTTAAAAAAAACTCAGTGGGGCTTCTGATTTCGGCTTAGGTCATGATCTCGGGGTTCAAAGATGGATTTGGAGGCTCCAGTGGGAAACTGGTGGTCCGAGCTCAGTTACCATGTACATGTTTATGGCCACCATCTTTATAAAAGCGTTAGCCTCACGGGAACACTCTAAGAATAAATGAGAAGTTAAGCCCTTCAGGGATTAGCTTGGTGCTACCCAAATCAGCAAAGTAAAAGCCAGTGCTAAAATAAATTCTGCAGGGGTAAAAATTAAAAAAAAAAAAAAAAAAAAAAAAAGACAATAAAAAGGAACAAGTTCAATCCTTTTTAAGACTTTTTTAAAATGCTTATTTTTGAGAGAGAGAGAGAGAGACAGAGTGAGTGGGGGAGGGGCAAAGAGAGAGGGAGACACAGAATCTGAGGCAGCTCCAGGCTCTCAGTTGTCAGCACAGAGCCCGATGCAGGGCTTGAACTCACGAACCGTGAGATCATGACTTGAGCCGAAGTCGGATGCTTAACCGGCTGAGCCACCGGGCGCCCCACACCTGGAAAGATTTCCAGGTGACTGAGCAGTCAGTCGGCTCCACTAACCACAGGCATCCACCTGAGCCACATCGATGTCCCTTTACAAGATCTCTCCTGGCCATTCCCGCCCCACCCTAGACGACCCTCATACAAACTTCAGGGACCACTCTCAGAGACACTCTCCCAAAAGACATCCAGGACCAGATGTCACAGCAAAAATGGGATACATCCCCCGCCACCAACCTTTGAAGAAGGCGTAGGCTGCTACGGGAAAGAAAGGCAGCTGAAACACAAGCTCGCAAAATAGGAAGGACTTAAACCAGGCCGGGGGATCCTGTAGCAGAGGGTCCCTGAACTCCTTGGTATACCACTTCAGCAGGTTTCTCAGCTGAGGAGAGAGAGAGAGAACAGATGAATCCATCACCCGGCAGCTCCCCCTCCCCGCACCTCGGGAGAGCCTTCAAGGCCCCATGGCAGCCCAGATGGCCCCTTCCTAAGGACTCCCTAGCTGGGACTCGAATGTCACCTCCTCCAAGCTTCCCTCAGCTCTGCCAGCCCCTCTGCTACCGTGGCCACACTGGCTCTCCCTGTCAGCCACTGCAGGGAGCAACAATACCTAGCGCTTAGTAGGCTATTTTTGAAATTAACACACAGGAACAATGTAGCTGCCAAGAGTATCTTTCCTGGTAAATCAGGGACAGCCATGGAAGCAATCCTAACACTTGTCCTTGAACAGGAGCAGCTGCACACCAAGTTCTCAGGGCCAGGCTGCCTCAAATACAGAAAAGAATGGAGTTTGTCTTTTTTTTTTTTGGGGGGGGGGGGTGGCGTGGAATGGAAGGGAGAGAAGTTTAGCTGCTATAAAGACGCAATTTCAGACAACGGAATCCCTAAATCTCAAGTCCCTCCTCATCCTTAACTATTGTAGCTCTGCAGACTTCTGTTAGGAGACCCGCAGGGTATTTGTAGAACAAACTACCCAAACCACAAACTATAGAGCACCCAGGCTATGTCAAGGCTTGCGGGTTAGCAGTGGTCGTTCTGGCTTGGGGCCCACATTCCTAACTACACTGTTAAATCAAAAGAGGCAGATCCAGGGGCGCCTGTGTGGCTCAGTCCGTTGAGTGACTGCCTCTTGATTTTTCACTCAGGTCATGATCCCAGAGTTGTGGGACTGAGCCTGGAGCCTGCTTAAGATTCTCTCTCTCCCTCCGCCCCTCTCCCCGACTCATGCGCTCGCGTAAGGGGTGGGGGGAAAGTTGCAGACCCATGGCTACCGTCAGAGGAAGGCAGCAGGAAGGTTTGAGGTTGCCCATTCTGTGCCTTTAAGGGCCCAAAGCATAGTCTGTCACACTTGACATCCCAGAGATGGCGCGGTCTTGACACATGCATATCCAAAGCCAAATATATGTCTTGATAGTATGACAAATAAAGGGAACTTCTGATGTAAGGATTTAGCTTGCAATGGAAAAGCCATTTTTTTCCATTGCAATATTTTTCCTGTTAATTTTTAATCAAAAGATAAAGGCTCACCATTGTGAAACAGCTAAAACAAAGCTTTAAGCAAATATCCAGAAACAAACATTCTGCCAGCATGATATTAATTTCAGGAAGGCTCCGGCTAGATTACCAACATACTGACCGAGTGATATCGAATTTGTAATTGATTTGATACTGAAATTCACAGCAATACCCTTAGCTTCCTTTTAGGCACCTTTCAGGATGGTCAGGTGGCAGAGAGAATTCATGAAGGTTAAGTCACTGCACCTCTCCTGGGCTCTCTTTCCTCATCCATAAAACAAGCGACCTTGACCAATGTTTTTTTTTTTTTTAATATTTTTAATGTTTTATTTATTTCTAGGAGAGAGAGAGAGACAGCATGAGCAGGGGAGGGTCAGAGAGAGAGGGAGTGACAGACTCCGAAACAGGCTCCAGGCTCTGAGCTGGCAGTCAGCACAGAGCCTGACGCAGGGCTCGAACCCATGAACCGCGAGATCATGACCTAAGCGAAGTCGGATGCTCAACCGACTAAGCCACCCAGGCGCCCCGACCAATGCTTTTTAAGATCTATTTTTGCTCTCTAGATTTTCTTAAAAGAATACTGGAGAATGACCTGCTTTGAGGATTTACCATAGAAATGAAAAGGCATTCTGGTTTGAATTTCATTTTCTATTCAATTTGTATACAGTCTCTCAGATCAAAACTTAAAATCATCAAGGGGTGCCCGGGTGGCTCAGTGGGATAAGCATCCAACTTCAGCTCAGGTCATGATCTCACCGTTCGTGGGTTCAAGCCCCACACCAGGCTCTGTGTTGACAGCTCAGAGCCTAGAGCCTGCTTTCGATTCTCTCTCTCTCTCTGCCCCTCTCCCACTTGTACTCTCTCTCTCTCAAAAATAAACATTAAAAAAAATTTTTAAAAAACGACCAAAAAATCCCCCCAAACTTAAAATTACGGAATCAGTCAGCTCATGTGATAATCCATTAGGATCCTAGCACCTGCCCCCAGTCACCTATGAGCCTCACGATGCCAGACCTGGACTAAGGGCAGATGGAAGGCAAAGGACAGGTCCCTGGCAGCGTGACGGACATTGTCTGACTCTGAGTGCTGGCTCTGGGCAAAGCACTTAAATCTTGCTGAACCTGTTTGCCCATTACAGTACTTACTTCACGAATGGGAAGATAAACTGAGTTGATGTACGTGGTCCTTAGAACAAGGGCAAGCACATAGTAAATGTGACAGTTACTTAACTGAACGTAATTAACACACATATGGAGAAATTCAAGTTTGATCCTGTTAAGATCTCAGCAACTGGTCCTCAAAAACTACTCTTATTAGGTTAAGTCTCCCCAAACGGTTTATACCTGACTCACATTGGACTCAACTTACCATTGTTATCCATTACACTACTGACCTGGCCTATGCACAGGGATTTTTTCTTTTTTTAGGTTATATTATTTTATATTTTTTAAGGCCACAGTCCATTTTTTGGAAGTTTATTTCTTTGATGAAGTTTATTTATTTGAGAGAGAGCCCGTGGGCTCGTGAGTGGGAAGGGGAAAAGGGAGGGGGGGAGAGGTGGGGAGAGAAGGAGGGAGAGGGAGGGGGGAGGGGAAGAGATAGAAGGAGAGGGAGGGAGACAGGGGGAAGGAGAGAGACAGGAGGAGACAATATGAATCCCAAGCAGGGTTTCTCTCTCTCGAAGGGCTTGAACTCATGAACCATGAGATCACATGGCCTGAGCCGAAAGCAAGAGCCGGTTGCTTAACTGAGTCACGCACGGGCCCCTGCACAAGGATTTCTAAGCCAGGAGTGCCACCGAATGATCCTGTACTTCTCTACCTGGGAATGAGAGCACAGGTGACTTCACACCCACAAGCTCACTTGATCCTTATTTAAATAGAACCAACGAGGCCCAGCTGCTGGCGATACTAGAGGGCTCTGCCCCTCCTCTCCACGTTCCAATCCTAAATTCGATATCATTTCACAGTAAGAGGTTTTCCAAGTGTTGATGGGCTCAAAGCGAGGAAGATTAGCCCAACCACTATGTGATCTCCACAAGCATTTTCGTTCTAGGGGCAATCCCTCCTATTGAGGGATGGCAGACACAACGGATGTTAAGATTTGGCGTTTTTTTCAAAGAGAGTCTGCGAACAACTCAAGGCTTTTATTACGATCTTCCCCATAAGGAAGCAACACCACCATCAATCTCTAGTCCCAGGCAACGAGAGTGAAGAGACAAGAGCCCTTCCAAAGCAGGACGCCCGTGTGTCGCCGACACCCGGCACGCACGTACACAATTTCTGGCCAGGTCCTACTTGCAATGGCCCTTGACCTTTTGCAAGTAAGTCGTCATTAATAAAAACTGAGAAAACGTTCCCGAATCAAAGATGGAAGTTTAAGTGCGGTCTTTACGGTGCGGGACACATTTTCGCCGTATCTGGGGGTGGTAAAGCAAGGGCTTGTGGGGACAGCACAGGCGGAAAAGATAGAGCAGCAGCAGCTGTTGGGTCTAGAATACCTGGAGTAGTGTAGGTGCCCAGCGTTAAAGGGATTGATCACATCAAAGCCTAAACGGGCAGGCTGCCTGAGCTCTGCTGGCCACCCAGACTCAAACCCACAGCTGAGGCTCCTTCAACGCAGTTAGCGGCTGGAGCGGAGCTGTGGCGACCTGCTGAGAAAGTGGGTGCCACCTGGGTCTGTGTGGCAGGCCGAACAACCGTTCCCAGAGCACCTGATCTCTGGAAGCTCTGAACGTAACCTGATAGGGCAAAAGAGACTTTGCAGATGTGATTAAGTTCAGGGTCTCGGGTCCTGAGCTGCGGGGGAGGGGTCATGCTGCCTACCTGGCTGGCTCTCAATGTAACCGCAAGTGCCTGGGTAAAAGTGGGGCAGAGGGAGACTGGATTCTAGAAGAGGCGGCAGCCAAACGGTGACAGAGGCTGAGATGGAAGGGATATGGCCACAAGCCAGGGCACCCCGGCAGCCACCACAGAACGGGAAGAGGCAAGGAACAGATTCTCCCTTAGGGACCTTCCAAGATCCCCCTGCGCCCGCGAGATTCGCCTGCAACTCTGGCCTCCCAAACCCTAAGAGAACAGATGCTGTTTATGGCCATTACGTTTCTGGTAGTTTGTTACAGCAGCAACAGGAAGCGAATACACCCTGTGTGCCTGGGCTTGTAAGTTAACTCACTCTCTTACTCGGCGGGTGAGGCTACAGAGCCCTGACTTGCCCAAGCCGCTGAAGCATTTCTTGAAAGAACCACGGCTCCAGACTGCAGTCCGATGCTCTTGGACTTGCACACCCTCCCTGTACTTTTCCCAAGGAAAGATAGGTCAGAGGTCTTCCCAGTTATGCTTGGGATCTAGGAGCAAACAAGACGACTATGGAGTGGGAATACATCGCTGAGCATGGTCACACCCCTGGAAAAGCCCATGGGAACTAGAGACGCTCCTCCCAGAAACACAAGGCACACGCAGTTTTGCACACCCCATCAGGCGCTCAGGGGCCTTAGGTCAAGAACTCCTGCTCTGCAGAGAAAAAGCACCTGAACAGGCAAAGTCACATCTTCAGGCAGACAAGTCATCTTGCCCCCAGTTGTGCAGACCGTGTGGACCAGGACAGGACAGGGTCTCCAGGGAAGAAGGCTACAGGGTCCAGACATGAAAAGACCAGGGAAAAGAAAACAGGGGCTCTGAAGAAATGCAAAGCATTAAAGCAAAGTCTGGGATAAAGACTACTCGTCAACAACCAGGACGTGGGGCTTTTCGCCTCTATTTCTATTCAAGTGATCAGTCTTCCCTGAACCTAATTAAAAGGGCTGACGTGCAAAGGTGTCGTTAATTTACTTCCGAGCTTTTGAAGAGGCTGGAGCCCAAGACTGAGGTAACGACGACCCGCGAATGCCCTGTGTTGTGGGTCTAATGCTACTTGGACTATTTCTCTGGGATCAGACGCTATCTTAAAGCTCTTCCAAAGAACACACAAATCCAACACGCGATTGGGACACTGGTTCATCCAGGCTCCGTCCCTCAAATACAAGTGACCAGAGGTGGGGTGTGAGAGTCTCACGCATACCCAGGGAAGAACTGTCTTTAAAGGGACCAGAGCAGCTTGGGGAACGCTCTGGGCCAACGAAAACCCCAAGCAAGACGTTGAGATGAAGGGTAAGGAGGGGCCGGGGCATGGGAAGGGAGGGAGGGAAAGGCGCGGGGAGGGGTGTGTGTGCAGAACCCTGGCGGGGGCGGCGGGAACGGGGAAGGAGAGGTCTTGGGGACGCCGGGGAGGGACCGCAGCGCGCGGAGAGGCCCCAAGCTCAGCGACCCCGCAGTCTGGACCGACCGTCGCCCTCACCTCGACCGGGTAGAGTTCGCGCGGCAACACCACCTGCAGGTCCAAGAGCAGAGTGATGGGGACATGCGACAGGAAGTAGAAGCCCAGTAGCCACTCCAGGCCGCGCCGGACGCCCAGAGCCCCCATTATCGATTGGTCGCGCCGGTGAGGAGCCGAAGCCGCGCTGGCCCGGAACGCCGACGTGGGAAGTGGGCCCGGCCCGCGCAGGGTCCCAGGACTCCGCGCCCTGACCACCCGCCCCGCCCCCGGGAAGGGCTACGCCGACCACTCCCATTGGCTGGCTGCAAAGCCCCGGCGGGCGGGGCGCTCGCCGCAGGGCACGCCCATTGGCTCGTACAACTATAGCGTGTCGAGGAGGTGTCCCGCAGTCCATTTCCATTGGCCGTTGGGGGCGCCGCGTGGAACGGGGGCGGAGCTCCTCGCTGGCCGCCTCGGGCATGCGGCGTGCGGACTGAGCGGGACGCGCCGGGCTGACGTCCGCCGGGCTCTGCCGCTAACTACGTGGCGCGCTGTGGTCCCTTTCGCTCGGCACCCCATTGAATCACTGCAGACGTGTGACGGTTACTGAGCGGCCCCTGTGTGCTGGGCCACGGGCGCTCGTGGAGGTGGAGCTCCTACTGCAGCCGCGCTGCCGCAGACCCGGGCCGGCCGCACAGCGCGTTGTGATGCGCCGGTGCGGCATTCACGGGCCGTGGGAACACCCGCCAGGTCCCAGCCCCGCCGAACCTGAGGGGCCTGGAAGCCTTCCGAAGGTTGCCTAGGAGAGAGTCAGCTTCAATTAAGCAAGAAGCACAGGGATATAGTAAGAGGATGGGCAGGTCTTGGCGGGGACAGGGATTGGCTGTGATGAATGGGGGAGGATTTATTCATTCTGCAAAGATTTTTTTAAATTCATTTATTTATTTTGAGAGAGAGAGAGAGAGCGCGCGCACAAGTAGGGCAGAGGGAATCCAAAGCAGGCTCTGCACTGTTAGCGCAGAGCTAACCGTGAGAGCTAAACCGTGAGATCATGACTTGAGCCAAGTCCGCCAGTAGCTAAGTCACCCAGGCGCCCCCTGGTTCCGCAAATACTGATCTTTAGCTGTCTGCTAGGCCCAGCCATTCCCTGAGGAGTGGGGCCGAAGAAGTGGGTCCAAGAGAAGGTTCTGTGTTGACCCTGGGCAATCTCTGCAGCATCTGAGTGGAGAAGTCAGAGGGCCGTTGGAGGAACCTGCCTGGAGACGCAGTTTAGTGTGACATCGGCGTTTGCTGGCAGTTGGTGTTGACAGCAAAGAGCCTCTCTTAAGGGTCTTAAGGGCGCTCCATCTTCGGGGGTGGGTGAGGAGGGGGATGGGATACAGGTGCACAAGAGGCCTGTGATGTCACAAACATGGTGGGGAGGAGGGTCAGCTGGGTCAGAGCAACACCGAGTGGCCCCTGCCGTGGCCCTGTATGCGGTGGTGGTGGTGGTGGGGGGTTTGCAGATGACAGCAGACAGTAAGGAAGTGGGGAAGGGAGGCGGGGAGTGGAGACCCCTGGTTAGGAAGGAGAGGAGGGGGAGGGGCACTGGCTTGGAGACATGTTCCAGAGACGGCTTATTTATTTCTCTCATGAGAGAGACGAGGACACTTTTTGCTTGTTTGGATGCTGTTTGAAGTTTCTGGGGGAGGGAGGGAGGTTGTTCTTGAAGGAGGAAGAAAGGCCAGGAATGTGGCTCAAGGCTCCCCGGGAGCTGGAGAGAATGGAAGGTTTAGGGTTACAGCAGAGGAGCTCTGTGCCCCAGGATGGGCCCTTGGGACTGGGACAGAAAGAGTGGTGGCAGTGTGGAGGGCCCAGCCAAGGTGGGTGGCCGCCGATCTGGAGGCCCAGTCTCCGAGGCCGTGTGCTCTTCTCCAGGGTGGGGTCTGCTTAGAACAAAGGCTGTTGAGGGCGTGGAGGGCGGGGTGGTTCTAGGCTGCTGAGCCAAGAAGCTCTTGATTTCTGCTCAGGTCCTGATCCCAGATTCATGGCATTGAGCCCTGCGTCCGTGTCTGCGCTGATCGTGGGGCCTGTTTAAGATTTTCTCTCTTTCTCTCAAAAAGAAAAAAAAAAGATTCCCTCTACTTTTGCCCCTCTCCCCTTCTTGTGCGCATTCTCTCTCACCCAGGGCTGGGGTTCAGAAAGACAGTGGTGAGGAGTGGCTCAGCCGGAGAAGCGGCTGACTCGACCTCTGCTCAGGTCGCGATCTCATGGTTTGTGAGATCGAGCCCCGTGTTGGGGCTGATAGCGCACAGAGCCCGCTTGGCATTCTCTCTCTCTTCTCTCTCTCTGCCCCTTGCCCCCTCAAAATAAATAAGTAAACTGTAAAAAGAGTTGAAAGAAAACAAAAAGGAAACACAGTGGTGATTTTGAGACGTAGGGTGAGAAGGTGATTGAAAAGGCGAAGCATGCGTTTCGAGGGCCTGAGGGTGTGGCCGAATGTGAACGTGAACGTGAGGCGGAGGAGGCAGTGCTGGCGGGGTGGGAGTCACTGGATGAAGAGGCCAGAAGGTTGGGAGACCATGACAGGGGGCCAAGATGTCGGAATTCTTGGTTTCGGGAAGGGGTTCACGTGCAGGGGAAGGTGTGGGCCGAGATGGAGAGGAGGGGAAGGTGTTTGGACAGGGAGTCAAGGGACAGAGAGCCGAGGTGTTGGATGGATGGCCTGCCAGGACCACCTGGGCGCAGAGAAGGCTGGGGAGCCAGTTGCCAGGGTAGAGGAAGGGGAGTTCCCGGGGGGGTGGGGGGGGGAAGGTGGGCGTGGGCCGAGGCATGGCTCAAGCTCAGAGAGTGGAGGTCGTGGCTTTGGGGAGCAGGGAGGCTGGTGTAGCGGGGAGAAGAAAAGAACGGCTTCCACGGGAGAGGGCTGTGGGGAAGCCATGACCTTGGAGGGCGGGGAGCCACGTGTCAGTTCTGGCAGGAGGTGAAAGCCTGAGGGCCTGGAGGGGTCTCGGCTCTGGACAGGAGCGGGCTGTTTGCTAGGGAGGAGAGTCAGAGTCCGGTGGAAGGAGAGCCTAGCCGGGGAGGGAGGTGAAGCTCTCTTCTGGGCTGGTCGGAGGCTGTCAGAACACAAAGTCCTGGCGGCCCAGGGCCTGTTGCGCAGGTGGAACACTCCGCGCAGTTTCCTCCCGAGGGACCTGGCAAGGGGTGCTCTGCCCCGCCCCAACGGTGGCTTCCAGGACAAGGCGGCCCCTCATAGGCTGTACTCCACGCTGATTAGAACTGCCTGCTGGGGGGGGGGGCGTATATGTGGGGGGGAGAGTGTGCAGGCACCACCCCCCAGCTGGGATTTCCGGGGACCATGGTAAGTGTGCAGCTGCTGATCTGAGTGCTCCTCAGAAAACCTCTCCCCCAGCCAAGTTTGTTATCTGTAGATAAAGACTTTCAAGGCCAAGCACTTTCCCTGCAAGGCTTTTCAGTCCAAAAAACCCCCCCAACTCTGTGCACTTGCCAGTCTTCTCTTTGAAATTCCTTTAGTGGGAGCAGTGCAGCTCTAAACTTGAGGTCAGAGAAGTGGGGGGAGGCGGATGGCCCTGGGGAGGAGGGAGGACGTGGCCGGTCGGTCAGCAGATCCCCTCACCCACAGCAAGGGCTAAGTCAAAGAATAACTTTAGGGGTGCCTGGGTGGCTCCTTCGGTTAAGCGTCCGACTTCAGCTCAGGTCATGATCTCACAGTGTGTGGGTTCGAGCCCCGCATCGGGCTCTGTGCTGACAGCCAGCTCAGAGCCTGGAGCCTGCTCTGGATTCTGTGTCTCCCTCTCTCTCTCTTCCCCTCCCCCACTCGTGCTCTGTCTCCCTGTGTCTCTCAAAAATACCTAAATCTTAAAAAAAAAAACAAAAAACGAATGACTTAAAAAGGGGGGGGGCTTGAGCTGCCACCCCGTCTTTCTGAGTGAGAAGAAGCAGTGTTCAGCACCTTCTGAAAATTATTCGTATTGTGAGGAGACAAAACACCATTAGTCCCGCAGCGGCCCCCAAGGGGTGGGGGGAGTGGAATTCTGGCATCGCAACCTCGGCTGTGCTCGGGGAAGGACCCGCTGCCCTTCTAGCGGCACCTGTAGAGTTCTCGCCTCTCCTCTGTTCTCGGTCACTTTCCTGGCTACTTAAAATGCACCCACACGTCTCAAGGCCCTCCCAAAGGCCTCCTCCCCTGCTGGCCTCTATGGTGTCATTGCTGCCGGCTCTGAGCCTCTCTGTGCCACTCTCGGTGACACGTTTGTTCCTTTCGCTCTGAGCGCTGCTGATCTGAGTGCGTGTCTCTGCACACCTTTGCTGAGACTGTGGGTTCCTGGACAGTGAAGACTGTGCCTTCCATACCTTCATTTTACTTCGACAAAGCTGGGGTCCTTGTTGAGCGAACTAAATAGGAAAAGAGCCCTCTGCCGCATGGAGATCGTCACCTGCTCGTGGAAAATGATGAGACCCGGAAAGCCACCGTGGCTGTCAAATCAGCAGATGGCTTCACACCTCGGAACCAAAACGTTTTGTGTTCAGTAACAAACACTAAGATTCTGGGGCGCCGGGGAGGCTCAGTTGGTTAAGCGTCCGGATCTTGGCTTCGGCTCAGGTCATGATCTCATGATTTGTGAGTCTGAGCCCCACACTGGGCTCTGCACTGACAGTGCGGAGACTGCTTGGGATTCTCCTTCCCTCTGTGTCTCCCTGCCCCTCCCCTGCTCACACGCTGTCTCTGTTTCTCTCACAATAAATACACTTAAAAAAACAACAACTAAGATTCCGTGGGTGCCAGAGCTGTAGCAAGGAGGCTGTGGAAGGAGGGGGAGGTTGAGTGATCTCTCTTGAGATCTGGGGTTTCACTGAGGCAGAAGGAAGCTGGCCAGCTGTTTTGAGTGATTACCTCCTTTTCATGTGAACTTGAGAGGAGGCAGAGCAGGTGGAGGCTAATTCACAAAGACTTCATTTAAAATTTGGATATTTTGTTCATAGATCTTTTTGCATTGATTTTACTGTATTTAATTTTTTTTTTTTAATTTTATTTCTAGGAGAGAGAGAGACAGCGTGAGCAGGGGAGGGTCAGAGAGAGAAGGAGTGACAGACTCTGAAACAGGCTCCAGGCTCTGAGCTGGCAGTCAGCACAGAGCCCGACGCGGGGCTCGAACCCACGAACCGTGAGATCGTGACCTAAGCGAAAGTCAGACGCTTAACCGACTAAGCCACCCAGGCGCCCCACTGTATTTAATTTTTTAAACTGTTTATTTTTGCGAGACACACAACAG